TTTGCACTCACACAGGATGGAGGAGAAACTCATAACCCCACAAATGGTGACCACCGGAGAATCGCACTCACACAGGATGAAAGAGAAACTGATCACTCTCCCAGTCTTCAATCAACATGGAAGACTGGCTTATACACACAGAGGCAGCTGTCATCGGCTCTACAGCTACTGTCTCTACACCGAAGGTTAGACACCCTAGAGCAGCTCTGCTACTCTAAGGAGACAGCCGCTCCTCTTCCTGCCCCAAGCACCACGTCCTGCCGACTCCAACACACCCGTCCTGCCTCAGACGCCGCCCCTGGCCCAGCAGTAGCCCCTGCAACTGTCCTGGACCCTCCTCCTGACGTGGCCATTGCTCCTGACGCGGCCCCTGCTCCTGACGCGGACCCACACACCCCTCTTTTCTCCCTCAGGTACCCCCTGCTACTGTCCTGCACCTTGCTGCTGTCGTGGACCCTGCTGCTGTCTTACACCCTGCTGCTGTCATGCACCCTGCTGCTGTCATGGACCCTCCTCCTGACTCAGCCCCTGCTCCTGACGCGGACCCACACTCCCCACCAGGCGCTACTGAGATCTATATACCTGCCGCGAGAGAAGCACCACATTCCTCGCCTCCACAACCCTCCTTCTCCTTCTCTTCTCCCACAGATTTCGTGTATCTTGACTTTTACTTTTATCCTCTTCGCCACTGATCGACTCGTTAGCCGCTTGGGCGATCGGTCACGTCTCTGATTACTTTTCCTTTTCATTTATCCTCTTCACCAAAAGGTCGGCTCGCTAGCCGCCCGGGCGATCGGTCACGTCTCTGTCACGCACTGTTGGCAAATACTGGGCATGCACAGGCTCCTGAATGTACCTGAACCCGCTCCAGTGTTGGTCAAGTCTTGTCTTGAAAGAGCTCACACTCGGTGCCGTCACAACACTCTCTGGTAGATTGTTCCAAGAGTTTACAACCCTCACTCTGAAAAAGTTTGCCCTCACAGTTTTCTGGACTTGCGGCTGCTTCAACTGTGACCCCTTGTGGGGCGAGCGTCCGCCAGCTCCAAGTAAGGAAACCCGACTGAGTAGTGCCCCCTGAGATGCTTATACACCTCAATTAAGGTCCCCCCTTGCCCGTCTGTAGTATAAGCTAGGCAAGTTCAGGCGCTCCAATCTCTCAGGGTAGCTGAGGTGCCGAAGTGCAGGCACCAGTCTGGTGGCCCTCCTTTGAACATTTTCAACCAACTGACAGTCCCTAGCATATCTCGGGGACCAGATGGGGTGACAGTACTCCAGATGGGGAAGCACTTCACTCTTGAAGAGCGTTACGAGGGACGGACCGTCTAGATATCTGAACGACCTTCTTATAAGACCCAATAATTTATTTGCCTGATTTACCTTCTTCTCACAATGGCCCGAGAACTTCAGCTCATTGTCAACATACACACCTAGGTCCTTTTCACATTCAGTCTCAAATAGTGCAGTTTCTTCATCCCGTTGGGACATATGATACGCCTCCTTACCGTTGGTACGCCCCAGGTGCATCCTCTTACACTTTGTGACATTGAATCTCAGCAGCCATTTCTTTGACCATTCTTGGAGCCCACAGAGGTCCTTCTGCAGCTCTTCACAGTCCGCTTGGTTCTTGATTTCAAAAAATAACTTGGCGTCATCGGCAAACATTTGTATGGAGGAGTGTACAACGTCAGGCATGTCATTTATGAAACAAACAAACAACAGTGGGCCCAATACACTGCCCTGTGGTACCCCGCTTGTGACAGGTACGGATGATGATTTCGTGCCATTAAATCACCACACACTGCTTGCAGTCATGTAGAAAGTCTTCTATCCATGCTTGGACATTTCTCTGAATTCCGTACCCTTCCAGTTTGATTTTCAGCCTTTCGTGGGGTAAACTGTCGAAAGCCTTGGCAAAATTTAGGTAAATATTGTCGATATTACCACCCCGTTCCAGAATATGGGTCCAAATATCCAATACCTTGAGCAATTGTGTTAAGCAGGAATGCCCGGCATAAAACCGTGTTGGCAATTCTTAACAGCGTTGTTTCTAAGTAGATGTTCCATCGCGGCATCTCTGATAATACTCTCAAGTACAGTACTTTAAATATTATGCTGGTCAAGCTCACCGGTCTATAGTTGTTCGTGGAGTGATGATCGCCCTTCTTGAAGATAGGACTCACATAAGCCACTTTCCATTCACAAGGGACCTTTTGTTCATCCAAGCATTTACAAAACAGGATCTTCAGGGGCTTGGCAAGCTCGTTGCACAACTCTCTTGGCACTCTAGGATGCACCATGTGAGGGCCGGGACTCTTATGGACCTTTAGCCCGGACAGTTTATTTCTAATACCCTCTTCTGTGAACACAATGTGGGTCAGTGCTGTGTTGAACTGTCTGTCCTCAAACGCAGGAAGGTTAATCACATCCTCGCTTGTGAACACCGAGGAAAAGAAGCTGTTCAATGCCTCGGCTTTATCCTGGTCAGAATCTGCATAACTACCATCTTCAAGCCTCAGGTCTGATACTCCTACTCGCGTTTTTAATTTCGACTTTGCATAGCGGTAAAACGCCTTTGGGGACTTGACCTCGCTTGCAACCAGCCTCTGGAACTCCCTTTCAGCCCTTCTACATTCTATCTTTGCCTGGTTTCTGGCTCTTGCATACATCCTCCTGTCCAGCTCATCATTTGACCCAACCCTTCGTATTCCTAGAGGCACTGGGTTTGGTTTTGGATATATATTTATCAATCAAATGGGTCACTTTATTAGTTATAATATTCAGCGTAGTGTCTGCGTTCTTGTGCCTTAATGAGTTAGGCCAGTGGATATCCCTCATCTCTTCCCTCATCCAGTTGTAATTTCCCTTGTAATATTTGCACCTTGGCCTGGCCTTATCCTGAACTAGGTAGCAGTTAAATATGAATGACAACACTATATGGTGACTGGTGCCAACTGGGCAAGGTGTTCCAGTTTGGCCACCATACCCTCCTCATTTGTTATGATGAGGTCTAGTGGCTCTGGTGTTTGCTCCACTCTGTAATGTGTCGGGTCTCTAACATGTTGGAACAGAAAATTATCTCTCAGAGTTTCTACAAAAAGAGTAGCAGGGTTATTCAAGTCATTTGGGGTGAACTCGTTTCGCCAGTCGATGTCACCATAGTTAAAGTACCCCATGATAAGGAGGTGGCTAGGGTTGAGCATTGCCATGTTGTCTATTAAGGCTCTTAAGTTCTTTTGATTTAGTGGGCCACAGTCTGGGGATCTGTAGATACACCCAACATTAAGTAAGTCCCTTCCTTTAAGTTTAATTTTACACCACTTGGACTCTTCAAAAACATCCTCTCCCTGTACCCTCGTCTGGCTGGCTCTAAGGTCTTGCTTAGCATAGATAACCACACCCGTCTTGCAAGTTTCTTGAGAAAGGTTCTTAAATTAGTCATATCCAGCAATACTGAACTCACATTCCTCTGGGACGATTCTCCTGTTCTTGTACAACAGTTCTACAGCTCCCACAATATCTGGTTGGTGTACCTTCAGTTGTGTTTCAAACTCCTCTCTCTTATCAAGGAACGTGTCAGTATTAGTGTACATGACATTCAAGCCAGAATTTGTTCTCGGTAACGTCTCTGCTCTTAGTAGTAACCCCCCCCCATTCTCAGAAACTGCAGCATTTGCTAAGTACACTGTATTTTGCAGGGTGTGGTTAGAAATGTCATTGTTTACAAGGTGCTCGCCTCCTCCCGGCTGATAGGCGGAGCTGGTGCCACCTCCTGGGCAGGGGGTAAAGTAGTTGGAGGGTGCGCTGCTGTCCCCCGGCCATGTGTCGGCACACTTGCTTTCACCACTCTTTCCCTGAATACAACCCATGTACACCCGTCCTTGCTCCTCCCTTCTCTGCTTCAATCCGCGATGGAGCTTCCTGTGCTGTTCCCTCTGCATTACCAAGCTATCTGGGAGAATGAAAACACTCCGAAATGCCTCGCTCCTTGCTAAGTTTTTTGCCTGCCGAAGTACTGGGCATGCACTGGCTCCTAAATGTACCTGAACCTGCTCCAGTGCTGGTGAAGTCTGGCCTTGAAGGAGCTTACACTCGGTGCCGTTGTAATGTCCACGGTCATACATGTTAGTTAACGTAAAATCAAACAATTCATATTACGCTCAATAGCCCACAAAATATGGAGCTAGGCTTTCTTTAGTGAGTCTCCCATCTGAGGCATCCGTTTTCTCATCGCTTCAGGACGTCTTAGTCCTCCATTTTCCCTCCATCTTAGAGTGCATCCGACTCTGTTATTCCTTAGTTTATGACGCGAAATTTGAAATTGCAACTGTAGTCTTATCTGTTAAGGCAACTTAAATATGTCTGATTACAGATGGAACATTCAATATCCCCTTGAGAGTGATGTTGAAAGCTTCAACTGTCTTTATTGTTAGTAACACCTGTCAAGTAAGTGAGTGTAGAGTACGAGCGGCATGTCCTTATATCGTCCTTGGAGATAGCCATGAGTTTATAAGTACTACTGAAATTAGATCATTTTGATGCCCAAACATCAGAGAATCTGATGTTTGTAGTTCAGTTAGTGTTAGCTGTCTATTCAAGAAAGTTATTAATCTCCCGAAAAATTCTGTCAAACTGTATATCTACAAGATCTCAACGTATAACCATAGAGGGCCCTTGTCTGAAATCCCGCTGATGTTGTGAGAATGACGTTAACAGTATGTGTATTTGATGTCCATTTCACTTTTTCCTGGCAAGCTCAATCTCTGACTAGATTATAAAAATAGACAAGAAATTCACCTGACCCATGACACTGATTTTCATAGTTAAATGTACAACAAGACGGTGGCCAGCATTCAGCTTGCTGGATCTCGTGAAACTCCCTTTTTTTTATGTCGTATATAAGACTTGGTTACATTAGGTAGTGGCAGCGAAATTAAAAACCGCAAAATATGAGATCCTACTGTACTGTATTAATGAGGGTTTACTATAAATAAAATTCATAGTTCTGTACTGTACTTTAGTTTTATCTTGCATTACCATACATAGAACTGAAGGCATCTCTCATATTTTTTTCTTCTAAACATACAGTATGTACTGTACACCATTGCATTACAAAGAAACTCTATAGAACTCGTGTACTCAAGGGTTTACTAATCTACTCTTGATCCAAAATTTATAACAGTGTAGTAAAAATATTAATTTAAAGTTACTCCCTATATGAGGCACCCAGACATACATACTGGGTACTGTATAAATATATACAGGGATATATTTTTGATCAATAAATTTATACTCAACTTCCCTATAATTCCCATTTATACACAATCATTTCCAGGAAACACTTAAATACAAGCAAAAACTAACAATGTGTCATTTAAGGTAATAAAACAATAATTTTCTGTGAAACTTAAGGACATTGTTAAAATATTTTAAGTGTTACATTGAAATAGAACTAACAAAATAAATCTTTTAGTGCTATGTCCTCAGCAATACCAACATTAATCAACACAGCATACACTCAAATCGAAGAACATAAATATATACATACTGCATATATTTTTTTTAAAGAATCTCTATCAGGGCTCTACAGCTTCAGTCTCTTGATCTCCTCAGCTTTAAAGTCAACTCTGAAAGAGAGAGAAAACTGTACAAAAGATACATCTGTATACAATAAATAAAAAATATGTTAAAGAACACTATATTATACCCTTGGTGAATGATTTCCATACCACACATAAAAAAAAATGGCTTTCATTCTGAAAACCCGTTTTATGACTTTGCCTATGAGGAACAATCTGAAAATATATGCATCCAGGTTTATCAGGGTTTCCCCAGTAAACCTTGTAAGCCCTGGTGAGTGCTGGTAAGCCAAGGGAGTGCCCTTTTTATAAACCTTCCTAAAGATGAGAGAAAAGACATGGTTCACCTTAAGACATGCAAATGTAACATGTCATGACTCCACACAGCTCATTCTTTCCACTGTGCATATCACACGTTATTTTAGTGTTATAAACCAGGTTCACAATAATAATAAACTCACGCCAGCTAACCTCCAAGGAAATCTTCGGGGAGACAGGTGGAGTCTGGGTCACTCCTTACTAGTTCTGTCACAAAGTTGGGTTTTCAGGGTAAAATCCTCACCTATACTGGGGCAGCAGCTCAGGGTGACTCATGAATGAAAAGCCAATCATCAAAAAGGAAGAATATCCAAATAATGTGCAGCGTGCAATCCCAAATGCAAGTTTGCTTCCAAATAGAGAGGGAAAGACTTTAATTTACAAACTTTCCAAGCTATGGTAAAAGATATCTTGTACTGTACACTGAAAGATTCTTCATGAAATAGAGACCCAAGAAGATCACCACCTAAGTGGAATTGAAGAAAGAGTCCTGGGACAGTTAAACAAAATGACCATATCAATCACAAAAGCTCTATAGTTATACCTGTAAATTATAAAACAGAGAACAAGGGGATGAGACTATGTCTACCCAATGACTTATTATCACTGAAGGAAGGAGAATGGGATTAAAAAATATCTGATTCAGTAGGGGAAACACACAATGCCTCAGCTTTGAAAACACTTCAAGTACTGTATCCAAAAGAGAAGAGGAAACACATAAATTTGATCTCTGTTACTACAGTCCAGGGTAGAGTGGTGATTAAACTGAAGTCACTTTACAAGTGTCTGTAGTTAATTTTGAAGGCTTTCAATCCAACTAGCCTTCACCCCCAGCCTGGACCCCCATTGTCTCCCACACCTCCACTATTCGGTGGAGTACAGTACCACATAATTAACTTCCTGGACTTTCTTAAAATATATCTTTAATAATGTAGATGCAGTAAAGGTCTGGTGAGTCCAGTACAATACAATATAGCAATCCACCAACACAAAATGAAACCCATCTGTATTATGCACCTTCATATACCATGGTTTATTTATTAGTCAGTTACCTTACTGTACAAGTAGTCAAATCAAGTCATAATGTATCACTGAAAGGTAACAAATTATGCTATAAGAATGTATCTCCATATTATATACAATACAGTACAGTACTGTATGTTATTATGATCCTGTTGTAAGCTGATCTGCTGGAAGCTCTCTCTCTAGGAACACATTCTGAGCTTTCAAAGGGTTTTACTGTTTTGTTAGAATGCACATATCCCTAATTAAATTAATTCTTTTGAGGGAAAATTCTTCATTATAAAATTTCTGTGGAATACATCCCCAATAGAGAACCCCCTGTACAGAGCAGTATACTAAAGTGTAATCACTTTTTATGTCTTAACACTGCTCTAACGGTATTCTTGGCTGATTATATCCTGGAAAAGTAATGTACAGTACTGCACAACACAAATCGAATGTGAAAACAGCAGTGACCGAAAAACAAGCTTGTACAATGGCAGCAGACAATAAACTAAGTGTCATTATGTGAGGTATAAGGTATTATACATTGCACCACAGAGTATCTAGGGCAACAGAGTTAATATTCAGCACCCCTGGTAAAATATGGTTCCTGTGGTAGTGACCCAAACAGGGAGGTACTATCACCTGAGAAGATATTGGAAGCATAATGTGTTGTCTAATGGTAGACCCTGCTGCTATATGGTATCACAAAAATTGTAACCAAGTCCCAGGTTGCTGATCTGTCTTTCTGCTTCATTTACACACAATTGCAGGGTCTCAATTGTTTCTCTTACTATTGACAACACAACATACATACTGCCATTTCTCACTATTGATTGATTTTTTAATTTTTGTATTTATTTATTATTATTATTATTATTATACTTTTTATTTATTTTATTATAATCATTATTATTATAAATATTATTATAATATTTCGCCCTCCAGGCCCTGATGTGGGTCAGTGACCTGTGCCAGGGTGGGCTAATCCCCATAAAAAAAAAAAAAAACACCCAACAACCTCCCCCATTCATGTCAGACCAGCCACTGTAGGCAGAATGTCTCCACTTTTACGGTAAATCTAATGTTGTAGACTTTATATCTAATTTACAGTGCAATTCCTTTTATCAGAATTCCAATTATCTGAATCTTCCTCGTATCCAAATTTTGTCCCCTTTGGTCTCCTTTGGTAAAAATTCTAATTTAGTAAAAAAATCTGACTGCAACTGAATTCATTCATTCACCAGTAGTGCTATAACTGCTTTAACAAAAATTGCTGTGATAAACAATAATATTGACACATATCCTATCATAAAATACACTAGCACATATTTTATGTACCAAAAACAGCTCCTTCTACACTCAAACCATCATCTATGTGACTCCAAACAGTTGAGCCAGGCAGTGAACCAGGTGACTGATACGTGTGTGTGTTGTGACGCGTGTGTGTGTTGTGACGCGGGTGTGTGTTGTGACGCGGGTGGGTGGCAAGTCTGTGATGCAGTTATAGCTCACTGCCTCTACACATTTGTTCACCCCATACATAAACATTCATGCTCTTCATTTATATTATTTTATACTTTTATCTAATATTTTCTTTATTTCTAAGCCCCATTAGGGTACAATATGGTCATTTTTACTCTTTTGTTCTTTATTAAGTAGAGAAAACAATTATTTGTGTTAAAATTTATCATTAGTATTGCAGAAAATCACTCCATAAAAACATCAATATTATCTCTAAAACATTTATCATTTCTAGCTCAAAATATTATGACAAAAATGTTAATCTTAGTAGCCATGGTAACATACCCTATTTTTTTCTATAAGGTATTAAATTCAGAGTTTGTGAATTCATGATTCTCAACGATTTCCAAGAATGTAACCCTCGTGAATATGGGAGGATAAGTGTACTGGTATATACACTGGACCCATGATAGACCTGTCCATTGACAACAAATCCAATTACAACCAAATCTAGTCTAAATGATGAACACTGCAGTATGAAAACACACTAGATAAATATACTTATGCAATGAAACATACTCTGGCAAACACAGGCACAACCTTCAAAACACATCCTCCTATATTTACACACTCTTATGCAGAAAAACGGACTTATACACAAACAAACTTGCATCACCAGAGAGGTGGACAGGCGACCTCATCACACAGTACCATGGTTAATAAAACTATTCCACAGACATGCTCCTGTTCATCTTCAAAAATACTGTCAAAATTCTTGTAGTTTCAATATGTCTAACATTTCTATCGTGGTTTCTAGTTTTCTTTAGGCTTAATTTGCATTCTGAACATTCTACACCAGATAATTCATGATCCTGATATGCAATGGGAAAAGCTATTGGTTACTGCCTTCTGAACTTACCACTTGATGGATTCTTTTAGTAATACGAGTATACCACCATTGAATGCTGAAAAGTTAAACAGTATACATATGGGAATAATTATGTTGTCCCATTCTCAATTTATGAAAAGACAAATTTGTTACTTAGTTATATATACTGTAGGTTACATGCACACCTTCACCTGAAACTTGAGACTCACCTAAGTTGCAAGACTTTCCTCATTTCCGATGGAGTTAGCCTCCAAGTAGTAGTGGTTGAATACTCAGACACCTGCAAACAAAAACGAGTTACATACTATAATAAAGTACTTCTTGCTCATTTACTAAATGAGGATTGAAAAATGGATTAAAATCTTAACCATAATTACATTTCACAATCAATAATACGAGGAACAGCTTAAATACCCTCCTGAACACAGTTGCCAAGTCTAAACAAACAGCTGATTATCACTTAGATACTACACCGATTTGGGAAATAATTTATAAAGGCCTCTTTAATCTATGTACTATACCATTGAAGGTCTTTCCATGTTTATCTACACCTAATAATATATTTCCTGAATGACTAGACGGTATAAAGCGAGAGTGGTTTCCATAGGCCAGACGGCTCACGAGAGACAGTGTGTATAAATGCAAAATACCTGCCAGTGCTTTACCAAGCCCATCTTTTACCAAGAAACAGTAAAAGCATGTTATTTTAGTGGAGAAATTAAGATAATATTTAATGACAAGAACAGTTGACGAACGGCAGTGAGAGAGAGTGAACATTCACACACCATTCAATCCATCATTCATTACCACAACTTGTATACTGGGTAATTATTTTGTGCACTCTTACCATTACTACAAGCTTATTATTTTAAAGTCGAAATAGTGGCGAAAATGGGTGTACAGTAACTTTTTTTTTATTTATAACTATCACCACTTGTCAACTAACTAACCAGTCAGGTGGTTGGTCTGTTCTTGACTAAGCATATCTGTTCTATGTTACAATCTTCATTTTCCATTGTTAGTAGTATACAGTGTAGTACAGGAGAAAACTTGCAATGTTTGGTAGGATCACACTGGATAACACCCTTCTCACATCTGCCCTGGGGATCGAACCCAAGGTGCAGTAGTGATAGGTTAGCTGATGCAGAGTGGTCCACAGTAATGGGGATCATATGATAACCAGTTGTAAGATAAAGATTATGCTCGCACCTTTCAGTTGTATTTCATATACAGTACTGTAAATTGTGTGTTTTTCATGTTATTTTTCTTGATTTTTATTGTTTCTGTACAACTAAATTATTTTAGGAGGCACGGCTGCATAAATCACATGAAGTTGTTTAAGGTTCAGCGTATCAACAAAAAATATCGAGTTAGTGATGATTCAGTGTACAGTATTTTCGACTTAACAAATTATCACAATTTGTAAGAGAGTTACTTTGGCCACTGTAAGCTGTCTGTGGCACTCCACAGAATAGGTTCCCCATGCAAGTACAGGTATTCTTCTGCTTGTCCAGTGCAGTGTACCAGTATGATGTACCCGCCCAAAATGAGACCCAACTGTACTCAATGCAGCAGCATAAATCATAAGGGGGATAACTTTACTTTTTAAAAATACATTACAATTCTTTTCCACTACACTGTATTGTACTTGAAGTAAATCTGAGCCTTAGGGATGCCACTCTCTACCTTATCTATAATTCCAACTTTCTGTTGAATATTAAGCACTACATGTTTCTAGGCAACTTACCAAACCTGGGATGACAAATTGTGACTTATATCTTGCCAAAAGGAAGAAGTGTTTATAAAATTACACAATATTCTGCAAATCTGTGATTAGCTGAATGACCTAAAACAATTGCAAACACAGAAGCCATGTCAAGTCAGGCCAAGCAAAGGACAGACAAGATGCATATACTGCCTGTGCTCACTATGTCATCCAGTAACCACATGGCCTCAGTAACTCATCACTTTGTTGGTAACTTGGAGTAATTTTATATAATACTGGAACTTTAAGAAAAATGGGTCGCTGGACTAATTGAATGTTTGAAGGTTGGAAAATAAATGAATGCATGTGTTGACTTGTAAATAAAAATAAATATGTGATTGACATTGCTGACTGGTAGAGTACAATAAAAAGTTATATGATAACTCCCCAGTATACAGTAAACTATACAGCAGTTTCAAACAAAAATTTAATCACCTCTTCTAAATTTTCCAAGTTGAGAAGTGTTGCCATTTGTGTGAGGCGGGTAAGTTGTTCCCGGACACCCCACTCTGAGACTTGTGACAAGTAGCCAACTATTGCTCGAACTTCACGATCAAACTGCAGCCCTCCTAACTATACACAGGAAAAACAAAATTAATCAATAATAAAAAAAAAAGGTTAATCACCTTATAAAATAAAAATATCAACTATACTTGTACATTCATGTAACAAATTTCAACCCACCAGAGATATACACTGTACTGTACTGTACTTGGGAATGATGATCTTAATGAAGTTGAAAATACAGTAATGCCTCACCACATGCAGGGTACATGGTCTATAATTCTCTCACAGTTTGCAAAATTGTGGTTGACAAGAGCTGGTACTAAATAAGAGGTTAAGTGAAGTGTCCCTTGAGAGACATATCTAAAGTTCTATATAGTACAGTAGTAATGTACAGCTCAAGGTTAAAAATAAGTACAGTGTGTTTGTTGTACAGTACTTATAAAAAAAACCCACTCATTATACTGCATAAAAATACTGTATAGTACAGTACATTGTGCAAGTATGAACCCACTGAGCAGTAAGGGCTTCTCTCAGTTGAATAAAAATTGTCTAGTGTTGGCCAGAATAAAACACCGAAGTGTGACACTATTCCTTAAAAAACTTATGGTGTGTGCTGGGCCTCAATGATCTTCCTTGCAACACTACCCCCAACAGCACTATAAATATGCACACAGTATTAAGTTTTTTATTCTCTACAAACTTTTCATATGCAAGTGAGGGCAAAAACTATTTTATTTTTAGACTAGAGATTATATGTATAAGGACTGTGAACATACACATAAGAGCTGGGTCTGTCAAAGTAAGTTAATATCTGTTTTGTTTGTCTGGCAGCTGCACTTCACAGTTACCCCAAAGCAAATCTCTCACCTGTGGAAAAGCTCAGCACAAATGTTCCAGCTAATGGGGATAGAACTATTCACTTTCAGTGCCTCCTAAGAGGCAGCCCCTGCTTATACAAACTTTCCCCTGTACTAACAAGATTTTAGTCATGCTTTTTTTCTGGGTTGGGGAGATACATGTGTTAGGTGCAGGACTCCAGTTTGGTTTGGAAGGGAATCTGGATTAAGCCAAAACATTCACTAATTCCAAGAAAAATTCCATAGATGTGCGATTTTATTCGGGGATAAGAAAATTGGTCTCAATACACAGAAATATCTTAAACCCAGAAACACTGCACCGATTATTCCAGTTAAAGTAGATACAATTGTATTCATCATTGTGGAATGCTCAGAAAACTTTGTAAAAGAAGGATCTTTCACTCTTATAGCCTGCAGTACTGTGTCACACACAGGTTGTGTACTTTGGGGAGCACTGGCACTGACGAATCAGCCATAGGCCATACCCAATCAGCTCCATGATAACACACATGCAGCCAATCAAACGGCAGCATCTGGGGGTTTAAGGAAAATGTACCTGCACTTCGAATTATCCACTCAGTTTCTTTATTTTTTCTCCCAAACTTATAACACAAATGTAATTTTTGTGCACCATTTTTATAACACTGTGATCAATAAGTGCTTATAATAAGTTGTTTGGAGAATGAAGGTGCAGGGGAAGGCTGTGGGTGAGGAAGGAAGCATTTATTTAACATTGCTTTGAGAGAAAAGAAAACAGCACAGATAAAAAGACATTTGAGATTAGCCTATGTGAGCGTGAACAAAAGAAGACATAGATGATAAAAACAAGTGGGCCCCCTGTAAGTTCGGCTGCCAGACACGTGTTGGGGAGGAGAAAGCTAAAAAATTATTTCGTGATTTTTGGCAGCTCAGTGATTATGAGGAACAGAATGGTAACAGTAATGACCCAGTGAAGTTATACAGTGTCAAGGTCCTGTGTTGAGGATGGGGTGTCTTATGGTGTGTGGGTGGTAAAGGTTTTCATAGTATTCATGGGATAACACAGCAGAGGGAACTTATATATCCTAGACTAGAAATATGCTTAAATATAAAGAATAAACCTTAAAAATATGTGAAATAAACTGTTGTTGAACCAAGATAATTTTCCCCATCTTATTGTTAAGAAACTCAATCAATATAGTTTGTTTGATGAGGGATGCAAGAATGTTACCTTATACTGTACTCCACTACATGTTTACTGTATATCTTATTTATATGTATATTTTGTTATAAACTTGCCCTGTTGAATGTTGACTTGAATACAGCTTTCTCCAGTTGTTCTGCCACTTCTGAAACCAGTACAGACACCAGTGACTTGTAGTTCTCCTCAGTCAGAAGAGGTAAAAATGACCCGAGCAAACCATCAACTTGAACCATCAAGGTCTGACTGAAGGGATCATTTGCTTCATAACACGCAAACTCCTCCTGGTGAGAGAAGACTTAATTTTAGTCTAACAACTTAATGAGTATTTTAGGAATTTTGATAATAAGGAAAAATTTAATATTTTATTTCTAATTGTAAATCCTAATTATCTGTTAAAAGCACCTGCTTCGCTTGAAGGAAATCAAGGTCCTTCCTATTCTATTTTGAAAATTAAAAAATAATTATAATAATTAAATAAATAAATAAATAACATAAAACAAAACTGGGTCATGAACCTTGAACATAAGTTTTGAACATCACACCAAAAAATTGCAACATGTTACATAAAAGCTTCTCCCTGCCACAACCTCTCTAAGGTGGACTTTCTACCTGACAAAAATTTTCAGGTTGAAGTTTCAAGAAAGAAAAGAGACCAATGTTACGCTATGTGAGATTCCGTGGCCTGGTTATGGCTGTGTATGGTAAGGTTTCCATCCACACCTCTTACAACTTTAATTATCTTCTAGCATGAAAAAAAAGTGCTCTCAGTTCTTATGAAAAAAGTTAAAAATAACCTAAACTTTTGTCAATACAGCTGCAGTATGAGGCATCATACAGTTGTAGCTGTATTAGTGACATACTGTAATTAATCATTACACAATGACAATCATGTGATGACTATTATATGGCTGTACTGAACTGTATAGTTACATACATTACTATAATTATGCTAAATCCGTATTTGTCTGATTGTGTATTCACTGTCCCATAATATACTCGGCAATCTTCTAGGTGTAATAAGAGTCAAACAAGCTTTGCCTTTCTTTGTATGAAACATAGTGTTATGTTGACACAGTGACTCTCTGATCCATCAACAAATACCTACAAATCTACAACTTCTAATGAGCACAGTACAATGTCATGTAAAGAAGAAACTCTGTAGATAACATAACTTTGGAACAAAAAGTGTGGTGAGCTTGGGATATTTTATTGGCCAATGAGTCACTCATAACATAGAAAGGAGCTTGAAATTGAGGGGGAGATTGAGGGTGCACTGACTACTTACAGAGAAGTGTACAAATGTTTACAGAATAAAGCCAAACAACTGACCATCACCATTTTTATTTATTTTTTAATGTCTTACTGCCACCACCATCCCTGCCACCTCCACTACTTTCTCTCCCAAACAAGATTTCACCATTTTAACCATTGCCACTGCCTCCAACTCCAAACTCCCCAGTCTTTCCAAGCAGTTTAGTCACATCCTCGAATAACTGTACTGTCTTCAACATCAACATTATTGTCATATCAAGTTCTTCATCATTTTCATTAAAGGTTCAAAGCAGATTTAACTATCATGGCTCCATAAGGACCTAAGGTCCTAAGGGACAAAAGCTGTCTCAATTCCCCAATATATTAGGGCAATGGCAGAGGGGTTAAGAAAAATTGACTCATTATCATTATTTTACAGATACTTTCCAAACTTGTGTGTGTTAGATGTGATTACCTGAAGGCAGCTCATCATGCTGCACAGGCTCTCACACTCTCTCTCATCTGGTTCTTATCTCTGATGTCCAACATGAAACCTTGTGTAGTGCAAGTTGCATGCAACGTTCAGCCACTGGCATGCGGGAAGCTGCATACAAAACGGCCAAGTCGTCTACATACAATGAGATTGATACACCGCCTGGAACTGATGCTGCTACCCCATTTATTGTGATGGCAAATAGGGTCACACTCAAGACACTGCCCTGAGGAACCCCAAGGGATACATAAAACTAAATGCCGTAGTTGATGAAATGGTATACCGAGTGAAAACCGTGGATACATGGAATCTACAGTTGGCGAGGGTCTACTGTACTTAAGTCAGTCATATATGGTATTTCAGTATGTTTTTCTCTAAATACAAGTACAGTACAATGGCAAAAAAAACATTAAAAAACAATGAAATCTACTTACAGTACTTATAACAATATACTGTACAATACTATATACTGTACTATACTGTACTGCACCTTACTGTACTGTACTTTACTGTACTGTACTTTACTGTACTGTGCTGCTATAATGACAGCCCCTTTGGGTGTATACAACAGCAATTGTGGGCACTGCTATGGGGTGTTCAGCAGGCTAATTTATTATTCACCAAGAGCATGGGGGTAAAGAAGTTTTCACAGAATGACTGGCTACAGGGATCAAGGGGAGTCATAATATCTTATGTTGTTAGATTGGGTCTTGAACACCAATGAGCATAAGACATTGTAATCCCAGCCAGAAGCCTCATTAGTGCCATCCTGCAATTGGGCAATGGCAAGCTCTGCTAAACCTGGAATTTTTTGCTTTTTTCACATCATTTATGAGAACCCACTGGCTATAAATAATATACACAGACCAAAAAAAAAAAAAAATTGAGGGTTACCTCTTTGATGTCGTGTGAAGTGGTGTTGAAGATATCTACCCAAGGTTTCACTCGAGGTTTAACTGCTGTGGCTCTCAATTGTGAAATACCAAATTCTCCAACTATTGCAAGTTTGCCTGTTGTAGACTTTAGATCATCTGAAAGGAAATTAGAAAAATCTACATCGTCCTTTTTTACGTAATAAGAAAGGGGGCCCTCCAAATTCGTGGGGGTTAGGTTCTCAAAATGGCAGCGAATCGCCAAATCCACGAACAACATTTTCGAACTGAGGGGGGGAGGGGGTGTTATACGGGTGCTCCCCGACTTACGACGGGGTTAGGGACCCAAATCCAGGTCGTAAGTCCGAATGGTCGTAAGGCCGACATAGATAAAAAAAAAAAAATAAGTAATTCAAATTTTTTTTTTAAAATAAAAATCTACAATGAAATACAGTACAGTGAAAGTAATAAATAATGAGGAATGGATACAGTGTGACTGAGCACTTACCTTTAATGTAGTCAGCTGAATGCACATGGGGTCCCCATAATTTTCTAATTATACATGGAGACTACATTAACTGGAAACGTTTCGGTATAAAAAATGCGTGCGTCATTTGAAGAAAAAAAAAAAAAATGGTCACAACTGTGGTGGTCGTAAGTCCAAGCAGTCGTAAGTCGGGGACTACCTGTATTTTTACTTGCGTACAAAGAAATGTATATTCCATTTATGTGTTTGCCCTTAGGACAATCATTTCTTTTACCTGTATTGTATATATATGTGTGTGTGTGTGTGTGTGTGTGTGTGTGTGTGTAGACACACACACAACAATGCAAGTTATATTATCCTAAGTCAAGTCAGTGACATTTTACAAGCATAAAAATAAAACCTTTCATAATCCTTGAGTAAGCATTAATCTACCCTCCTGGCTGTTGAGACCCCACCTCCCCCTCCTCCCAGCCTGTGTTCTCTTCACTTCTTCCTCTAGTCAACCATACACTCTTCTTTTTCTATGACTTTTGTTTTGTGTATTTCTGCCCATTCAGTTGGAATTAAATATTTTGTTGATGGATGAAAAGATTTACAGAAAAATATTCATACTTCAAATTACTATTTTCCTTTTAGACAACAGAGTAACAAAGAACATAAGAACTAAAAGGCCACTGTAAGGTGGAAGACAAAAAAATTAAAACACATAATCTCCTTCATTAACTTATACTCACTTAAGCAGGAGTCCAGCTTAGCTTTTGGAGTTGAGCTGAGTCCCACCATGGCACTGATAATATTGTCTTCCAATGTCTGGTGCAGACTCTTGATGTGTCTCATGCTTGTCTCTGTGTTGTTTAGAGCTGTCTGTGTGGGGCAAATAACAAGGGTATGAGTAGGGCAGGCGACAACCACAAGGCAAGCTGGGCTAGCATGGATAGGACCAACAACAGTTCATTAAAATATACCTTTGTTGAGGAAGAGAACTTCATTAAATTGACAACATTTCTCTCTCACGACCAAACCTGACGCTTTGAAGTCAGGTGGAAGGTTGAAGCTGGATGGCGAAAGGTTAGGTCAACCACGGGACAGTGGAGGATGGAGGACGTGAGGGCTGGGAGAGGAGGTATGGACAGGAAGGGGGTCGCATGGTATTATGAAGTTCTGTATAAGAGAAAAAATCCACATGCCAATTATTTTACAAATGCAATGATTTTTAAGAAAGAATAGTGGAATCAGTTTGTGTTAAAAAATATAAAATATATAACTTGACTGAGGGCATGTTCAAGCTGGATCCTGTGATGTAAGCATTGGTGGTCAGGTCCCTGCTAGCAAAAGTGCTACCTGACCTTGTCAAAGGTGACCATTGCAGTGATGCGTCATGGGGGATGGGAGTCAGGTGATGTGGTTGTGAGGTGAAGTTACATTTGTTGCCAGAACTGTTTGGATTAAATAGAACCAATAAAGAATCTCAAGCAAAAGTTCAAAGCAAACATTTATTTTGCAGTCTTGGATGCAGCAATACAATCAGTTGAACAAAGATCCATACATATGCAACAAGTAAGTTCTCTGTTTGGTTTCCTGTCTGATATCCACAAAATGGAGACAATATACTGCCCCTTCGCTTAACATGGATTTGTTGAACACGGATTCACTCAAACACTCTATTTTTAAATTACTACCAGGAATCGCTTAATGCAGGCCTAAGATTCGCTCAAACACGGGTTGAATCGAACGTAGTCAGTTAGAACACGTTTTGCATGGGCCAGCTGAGCCAGCTGGCAGTCAAGTCCACAGGTAGTGTTCCCACACCAGGTGGGTCCAGTGAGTAGAGAATATTTTAAAATTAGAAATAATATCAGTGACAATGGCATATTGCTGAAAAAAATAAGAAAAATGAAGAGCATGGGTGTGTGTGAAGTGAATGTATGTGTGAACTTGGCATGTCACCAAGTTAGACTGTCACTGTAGCTACATCTCTTGAGATATTTTTTGCTTAATTTAGTGAACTAGTCTATAAATGGAGTCTATAAATTCAGTCCTAATTAAATTACACTATTTTTTTACTAAAATAATCCTAAATATTTTATCTAAAAGTTTGGTTAAATAAATATATTTAAAAAACTAAAACTCTACAGTATATGATAAGAGTACATGTATGTAATGCACCTCCTGAATGAAGTAGTGTGTGGAATTTTCCACCTTGTACTGTACAGGGGAAAGTGAGACTAAACTATGCATCATGAGCTGTATTTATTTAAGGAAACACCACTGCACACCTACAATATATCATAAATACTGTTAACAAAATAATGTACACTACTACTATACTGTACCCATCAACAGTTGTTGTCATCTTGAGCCTAGAGAATCAAACACTGTATCACTTGTGATGGAGGTGTGGTTGGGGAAGAGTAGGTCAGGTTACTGACCTGACCTGATGCAATGTCAGGTGGAGGTGAGGTGTGGAATTGGTGGTTTCACATTACTGACCTTCTGATGCAAAGTCAGGTCACCCATTGTTGGGGTGGGGGATCAGAGTGAAGGAACTTCACAGTCACTAACACAGAGTACAATGTGAACTTTAGTTATGTCCTCTCACTGTTAGGTAAAATACAACACTGATGATGACTGATAAACATTGAGCTCCATTTCTTACACGCGTGTTACCAAGAAGAAACAATGGCTGGTCTGTCGTTCACCAGATGGCCACGAGGTGATGTTTGGGTAGATGATGCCTCACCTGACAAATGATGTGAGTGATGCGATCCATTTGGCGAGTTGGCGGTATGCAGGAGTGGTGTTAATATATCATCATTATTAACGTAAACTATCGTAGATGGGAGACACCGTAAATAGAGGTTTACCTGTTTATTGTTTTTAGTTTAATTGTCTTTACAAAGTGACCAGGTCTGGTAAGAGGACCCCTGATATACCTGTGTCAGAACCTCAGAATCTTCCAATGATATGAAGAAAAAAAAATGAAAATTACGAGAAAAAATTATAAGTTCTGATTTTTCATGTGTAATGTACAGTACATCGAATCATGGAAAAAAATTGTTGTTGTAAATGTGGTTATTTGTTAACAGGATCATTGTAAACTGAGGACTGCTTGTTCTCTGGTTTATTACATGCTCTCCTAGCACAGATGTTCATGACAGTACAGTATTCTCTTTATATAAATAATCATTTTATATAAGTCTCCTGGTTCCAAACTTTTGGGATGACATATACATTTTCCCATACACAATTTTTCACATTCTGTTTGACATCTAATGAAATTTATACTAAGACACAAAAAAGAGAAGCTAAAAATAGCTTACCAAGAATCCTTGTCGGAGAGCATCAGAGTCGGCTGTGGAGGAGTTAATTTTGCCTGCCTGAAGAGTTGACTGAAGAGATGACTGTAAAACTGTGTACGCCTGAAACATAAAACAATTAACAACCATGTATAGTACACACAATACTACAGAACATTTCCTCTTAAACAAAATCATCAAACAGCAAAGTGCATTGAACGTGAAATTTTCTTATGGTAACCTAGGTGGTATTGTTGTTAGTGTACAACCTATAGCGGATAGTTTTTTAATACTGTACAATTATTTGTATCTCGTGGACACAGCTAGCGAATACAAGACTATGAGCGTAGCAAAACTTGTCAGATATTCCAGTTGGATTCAAGACCGTGACAGTGTTAACATAGAGTAAGTAAACACCCACCTGGTTGAAGTCCAAGTACCCCTGGGCAGGGAATCCTTTGCGCAGAGTTTGTTTAAATCCTTCTGCCAGTTGGGTCTCGATCAGAGTCACAGCATGATTCAACATGGCACATACACCATCAACACTGTTTGATGCTATCGCTCGCCTGGGTGATGACAGTATTAATGTCATTATTATTTATATATAATTATGATCCATATTTGCTCATATAAATTCACTTTAAAATAGCACAAATGATGATGTTTTAATATCGTAAAATATAATAGCTAAGCATACCTTACACTTTTCTTCACAATATAGAATGCATCATCAACTAAGGAAGATGTATTAGCAGTCTCCTCTACAGTGTCCATAGCTAATGCCTTCTTGAAAGACTCATTAAGATAAAACTGTTCCAAAATAGTATAATCAGCAACTATAACAGCCATGTCGCACACCAGTTGAGAACGTAAGAGTTTCCCTTCAAAAGCTGCCTCCTGTTTATCACGTTCTGCCTTGTGTGCAATGGACGCCTCAAAATCAGCCTGAAATATAATATTTAAGAGTGAGAAAACAAAGACCAAATTAATATTACATATATTTTGTGTCTATCATGTTTAAATAGTTATAAATAATTTAATTATTCTGGAAATTCCATTACTGTACCAAGACAAATTTATGACAAGGAGACTTATGTAATGCTGACAAGGTCACAACCCAAGGAGAGCCCCAGAACAATATTCTCATCACCTGTCCAGTTTAGTGATGTTAAATTATGAGGCATAAACACACAACTGAGGCCACCTTTATTAAACCATATTATTATTATTTTCAATAGTCAACAACTGTACAGTAATGTATTTTACAGTTAGTGTCTCCAGTAGTCTACCAATCCCAACACCAGAATTAAAAATATGTTATTGCTTACTTAACCCCTAAGCCCCGGTTCACGTTCCGGAACATCCTACTAGGGAGCCCCGGTTGACGTTCCGGAACAGCCTACTAGGGAGCCCCGGTTGACGTTCCGGAACAGCCTACTAGGGAGCCCCGGTTGACGTTCCGGAACAGCCTACTAGGGAGCCCCGGTTGACGTTCCGAAACAGCCTACTAGGGAGCCCCTGACGCGAGAGATTAGGAGCCCGGACGCTCCGGCATCTCACAAGGAGCCCCGTGAACTGAGCGCTCGCTCCGGAACAGCCTACTAGGGAGCCCTGGCTGACGCCCGAACAGCCTACTAGGGAGCCCCGGTTGACGTTCCGGAACAGCCTACTAGGGAGCCCCGGTTGACGTTCCGGAACAGCCTACTAGGGAGCCCCGGTTGACGTTCCGAAACAGCCTACTAGGGAGCCCCATTTGACGTTCCGGAGCATCCTACAAGGGAGCCCCGGTTGACGTTCCGGAACAGCCTACTAGGGAGCTCCAGTTGACATTCCGGAACATCCTACTAGGGAGCCCCGGTTGACGCTCCGGAACGCTCGCCTTTTCCGGCCACTGTTTAAATGCCCAGTGCAGGTTATCAGGTTCCAGTGTGACTATTTGCCTGTCACACCACACCTCGGCCACAGGGAAGCTTCCTGAACATAATTATCTACTTTTGTTTGTTTCATTTTCATTGTTTGTCCATTTTATCATGTTGTATCAATGTAATATTGCTAAAAGTAGTGTACAGTAGTTGTATTGCAGTTTAGTATTACTGTAAAACAATGCTATGATTATGTTATAAATGTATTTATATGTGGTATTATTATTCCGATAATTATTTATGTGCATTACTTGTTCTATCAAACACAAAGAAAGCCAGGCAGACTAGCGACAGACTGCGTGTGTGTTGCCAAGCACTTTTTATGAAAAATAATGCAAATAAAATATTCTAAATGAATTATTTATAGGAAATAAGTATTAAGCTCAGTAAATATATACATTACTGGCCATCCTAAACACAAAGGCAAGCAGAAAATGGTAGATAGTAGGCAGCTATCAAACAGGTAGGTAATGGGAAGATATTGGAAGCATAATGTGTTGTCTAATGGTAGACTCTGCTGCCATATGTGACCAAGTCCCAGGTTGATGATCTAACTTTCTGCCTCATTTACACACAACTGCAGGGTCTCAATTGTTTCTCTTACAACACAACACATCATACATATATTGTTTCTCACTCTTGATCATCTTCTTTTCATTTTGTATTTATGTTTTTTTAATATTATTTTCAATTGTTATTATTAATTATTATTGTTATTATTACTATTCCATTTTTATGTTTAATTATACTTTTATCAATTATTATTAAATATTATTATTGTTGTTGTTATTAATATAATTATTATTATATTTTTGCTCCTCAGACCCTGATGTGTGTAAGTGACCCATGCCTGGGTGGGTTAGTGCCCCCCCCCCAAAAAAAAATAAAAAAAATAAAAAAAAATACTGGTACAGGTTGTACCTCTCTAGTCCGGCAACCTCAGGTGCTAGTACTTGGTCCACACCCCTGTTTATCTAGTGCTTGGTCTAGAGATGAGTCTAATTCCAGAAGTGCTTCTTTTCCTTGCTTTTAGAATGGAAAAAAAAAGTATAATAATTTTCTCTAATGTCCGGATGTTTTCCTTTAAATCAACTGGACCAAGATCTATTTCCTGGTCGTCTTGCTCATGATCTATTTCCTGGTCGTCTTGCTCATCTTCTTTTAGTAAAGAAGCCAGTTATTAATTTGTTAACTCTTCTCCAGTGTTTCCAAGCAGCTCTTCTCGGATTTATTCTGGTTGCATGACACCAAATCCCTCCCGACTTACACCATGCTTGAGATCAGGGGCTTTGCTGAGGGGAAGCCAGTGAAATCATTCGTTGCTTCAGGCCATAGGGCCTCCCAACAGGAATTCACACACTTGCTAGTGATTTCATCATGGCTCAGTTTAAAATTTGTTATGCAGTCAGCAATGGTGTAATTTTTCCACTTCTCCTTCACCCCCGCCTGGCTATATTCTTCCAGTGTCTCGTGGATCTTGGAAAAACTGCGACTGAGGTAATATGACTTGAACACAGCAATTATTCCTTGGTCAAGAGGCAGTAAAAGATAAGTAGTGTTCTTTGGGACTCAGATATTTTTTTTTTGATGGCAATCTGTAAGTTCCGAGGGACGCAACCTTTAAAACCGCGAGCTTTAAAGGAATACAGTAAAATCAATGTAATAAACCATTTTACAAAGTAAAGACAAGCTATTGAGAGATGTTCTACTGCAGTGCCAGATGTTACAGCTGGGGATTTGACTGTGTTGTAACCATGCCAACAGATGTATAAAATTGTACAGTCTACAGTTTATACAAGTCTCCCAGGAACCAAACTCAAGGTATGAAAACCTTGTGAAATAAATTTTACATTAAGAGTGAACAAGATAAGCACTAAAAAAATTAACCAGATAAACACAAATACTTACCGACACTCGTCTACGGATGAACCTGAGGTACAACTCAGCTCGAGCATTTATGAGAGTCAGTTCCCCTAACAAAGTGTCTAGATCACGTGGGTCTGGTTGATCTGCTCTTGGCTCTTTACCTCCACTACACCTGAAAATTGTTTGGAAAACATGACAGTGATTTAAAGGACAACTGAAACAAACATACAGGAGCATGATGTTATAGGTTATATGCTGTTGGTGCAAACAATGAAAATTATAAGTTATTGTAGTTACCTCAGTGAATTACGAACAGCAGACACAATGGCCTCGAGTCTTCTATGTTTTCTCATCTCTCCTACAATGCGACCAGCCTGGCGATCACACTCACGCTGCAACATCTCTATTACAAGTGACAGGTGGCCAGGTCCTATGGAAAGTAAAATATACTGAATTTTGTACTAATGTATAGCTTGATTTTGCACACATTACTTATATAATGGACGAGTTGAAGGTTCAGGGTAAACACAAGAAATACACTCTGCCACGTTCGTAGAGTGATGGTATATATAATTTGTAATAAAAGTTTAAAAATCCTGCTATAATAGTCGAGATAAGTTTATTTCTCTAGAAACAGGACCGCCATTTGCAATGACGTCCCCACTTACCCTGCAGGTGATGCAGGGATGGAGATACGAGTCAATTTAGAAGTAATGACATTGTCTGGATTTTGTTTTGAGAATCCTGATGCTAGATAAACATGATGACATAGTGCAGTTATTGTTTTGATGATTCACTAATGAACCACTGGGATATATCATCATTTATATTAATTAATGAGTAAAAGTTTCATTAATTACCATTAAAATAAAGCAATAATAATGAGATGCATTCCCCAGTGTGACCTTTTCATATCTTTTGTGTGGCTTTTTACCCTCTTTTCCCCCCAAAACAACACAATTACTGAAAATTGCAAACTATATTCTTTAAATAATGTTTCTGAATGCACCTTATACAATATAAATGAATAATAATATGGTCACACAAGAGGAGATGGGACGCCATTATTTTCGTTTGTGTTTACAGCCAGGAGTCCGGGACGATAGTTCTACACGAGAAAATTAAGAAAATAAGACCCTGGTTGTAGCTGTAGTAAAATTAATGTAAAAAAATTAATATAAATGTTTTAAGTAATGTTATTTAATGTTAATAAATGGAACAATAGAAGTAGCTAACCACTAATGGCAAAAAAAAAAAAAAGAGATGGATTCGGAACGCCAACATATACGAATGTGTGCATTTAAGGATTCCGCGTCATTTATCCTTTTATGAATACTGTATGTACAAAAGATTCATTATTGTTTATTACTGAATATGTATTTGATTGAATTAATCTTTATATTATGCGAAATGAACAATGCAATTCATTAATAATACATCGAATATTGAAACACACACGAGGAGACAAGATGGCATTGTTTTCGTGAGTGACGATGGTTGTACATAAGAAACTGAAGAGAATAAGACCCTGGTTGTAGCTGTAGTGAACTTAATTTAAAAAAATGAATACCTGTATGTATGTTTTAAGTAATGTTATTTAATGTTAATAAATGGAACGCTAGAAGTAGCTAACCACTAATGGTAAAGAAATAAGGCGAGACGATTGGGAACGCCAACGTATGAACAGTGAGTGCGTACAATTACATGTGAAAACATATAGTCATTTCTCAACATATGAATATGAAAGCAACACTTATTTACTGTTCATATATGTTTTAAATAATATTTACAAATGTAAAACAAAAATTCTATTCACCAATGAATATTGTGCGAGTTTTTACTCAGATGAAGAAGTCATCAGGTTCAACTCTGGCTAGTGCTGTAGCTTTCCATAAAGCTGTTGCTGAAACTGTTACTGAACCTGAAGTTGATGTTGAAGCTGCTTATGATGCTGAATTTGATGGTGTAGCTGAAGTTGATGGTTTAGGCCTTCGAATAATAAAGCTGTCAAAAGAACCTTGCACAGCTGCTTTCTTTTCTTATGTAGAAGTCATTTGTATTTATTTAAATTTTAATGTTTTGTTCTGTTATTGGTTCCACTTCAGAAAACATGTTCATTGCTTGCTCCATATAATATCCACAGACCTCTCACCTTTTTCATATCGTTTTAACACATCTTGTTTCTCAGCTAAGCTTATACACTTTCTATTATCTTTTGAACCAACACTACCATCACTTACTCTCTTGCTCACGTTGAATAGGGATGCAAAAATGCTGTAAGATACCTGAGAAAGTTTTTCTCCTGTTCCAGAGGCGTGAAAACAAAAGGCCCGCCAAGCTCCGACTGTTGTTTACCATTCATTAGCCAGCAGCTTCTTTGTGCAAGGCGCGCTCTTCTTTTTTTTTTACAGTAATTATTATTTTTTTTATAATACATATCTGGATTTAATTATTATTTATATGAAAATGTAATTTTATTTTACTTTTATTTTATTTTGGTAGTAAGTAAAAATGAAATAAGGACGTAAATTGAATTGGGTCCTAAATTACTAGGGTTTTAAATATGAAAAGTTGGTGGTCGAACCGATGTTATCGGAGGCTTTACTGTATTTTCTTATACAATCGAAAAATGTTTTGCGACAGAAATCCTGCAGAGATAACATGTCTTATTGTTTAAAGTACAGTACTTAATCCCATAGTTAGAACCTTAAGGTTTCCCAGATGACCAAAACCAAAATAATAACAATATTGTGTGGAACGTTTATACAGTAATATCTCCGTTAGCCAGAATCCCTCAAACCCGGAAGTCTCTGATAGCCGGAATTGAAATTTTCTTGGAAAATTTCGAGATAATTTTTCCATTACCCAGAAAATTCCGGGGATGAGGGATATTTTTCTGGGTTCACGAGATGATGTAATGGGCAATTTCTGGAACTTCCGAGAACATTTTTCCGTTACCCGGAAAATTCCGGGGATGAGAGAGTCGTCTCGTTACCTGGAAATCTCTCATTCCCGGAAGTGCTCTTCACCAATTGTTCCAGCTAACGGGGATATCACTGTACTATGAAATTTGATGTATGGGCAGCTAATATCCATTGAATTAGTTAATGTGCTTAGTAATATTTATATATTCAATATAGCATTACTGTGTTGTGTTGCACAGTAAAGCACAATTAATCATAAAATAATATTTATTTACTGAGCCAATCAGCCGAGAAGGTTGGACAACTACTTCCAGGGTTTATCACGGCAGGTGAAAGAAATTTACCAAAAGTAGATGTCATTATGAGGCCTTATCTGTGGCCCAGACAGGTCGCACTGCTCACGGTTTCTTCTTTCCACCCACTTGTGAAGGTACTGGTCTGTGATAACAGGCAGTAGGTTTTGTTGTGAAGTATCAGAGAACGTCCTGTTACTAGAAAATTTTGAGAATATACTCACGGAAACAGTTAAGGCTTCCCTGTTCTTCTTAAGGGAATATATGGTAGATTCAAGGCAGTTGAGCCTATACATGATTTCACAGGTACAAGCACCACTTTTGATCGTCTCAAGCATCTCTCGTTTCATTTCAAGGGTGTATTTCCTCTTCTTGACCCCCTTACGGTAGTTACGCTTGGCTTGGGGCTTTCCTAGTTTATCTTCTCTACGGCCATCATTACCACCAGAACAGCTCCCGAAATTTACATTACGCACCTCACTCATCGTCAATACACAAGAATGGCTAATAGTTAAACAAGAATCTCGTGAAACATAAGACAATGGGTCATATAATCCAAGGTCACTACACCACTCGCTCTCGCTCATTCAAACTAACTGACGTAAACAACAAACACGATGGAACAGCTGATAACAAAGGACCACGATAATGTACGCTGCTCACTCTCCATTGACTAGCAAAACCAGTAATTAAAATCACTATTCTTGAGAGGCTGGAAATTTTAAAAGTGACGCGAAACACACGAATCACGAATCTAAAACTCGCTAAACTTGAGATCCTACTGTAAAGGTATACTGTACTGTATTCTGTGTGGGAGATGGAGTGTATCTGAGAGCAGCGGGAGGTTTGGCGACACACCCTGACTCGCTGGACTACTGTACACCTCACACTGGACAATTAAATCACACAAGTGTTGCAAAACCAAAAAATTAAGAAAAACTTTATTTGGTTCTTATATAATGGAGGGTTTGCATGTAAAGAAATGGAGTAAAAAAAGAATACAAAACTACATCTGGGTGTGTAGCCGTGGAGAGGAGATGGTGGGTGATGGAGGAGGAGGTAGGACGTGCTGCCTGGACTGAGAGGAGCAACTCACCTCCCACGCTCAGCAGCCCCCCAACCCTTTATAATGACAGTATGCAATTTCACCATAACTCCCATATTATTTAGGTTCATTTGGTGCCAGGTTAATAAAACATTATTATAAAAGAATAAATTTTCCAGAGAAAAAAAATCCCACACTCAACCACAAATGATTTATTATTTTTATTAAATTCCAGGCAGTTGTGTTTATACAGTATAGCACAAACAGCTGACTGCTGGCACCATTCCTCACCATGTCATCAGGTTTACCACAACATCTTTCTTCAGTACTTAGTAAATAATAATGGTAGTGTATTATGCACCTTCATATACCATGGTTTATTTATTAGTCAGTAGTCTTACTGTACAAGTAGTCAAATCAAGTCATAATGTATCACTGAAAGGTAACAAATTATGCTGTTAAGAATGTATCTCCATATTATATACAATACAGTACAGTACTGTATGTTATTATGATCCTGTCGTAAGCTGATCTGCTGGAAGCTCTCTCTCTAGGAACACATTCTGAGCTTTCAAGAGGTGTTACTGTATATGTTAGAATGCATAAACCTCTGTAAGTCACATTTCTCTGGAACACATCCTTGACATAAAATGAAAACTTCTTGTACAGTCAACAAAAAATATTCTGCAGCCTTTATGGTGTTCTACAATATGACACACCGGACCAAGAATTCTGAACAACACTCATTTTAATTTCTCTGTATTAACTATATGTGATATAAAAAATACATCGGACTGGTTATACAATGCATCACACAACCAGAAATACCAACCTTACCAAATTAACATGGCCTCAGTCAGTGATCGTTGCAGAGGCCATCAGACCAAGAGGTGCAGAACATTTTGTTGCTAACTGTACATATTTCCATGGCAGAGAAGTAACGTTATAATACTCTCTTATGACCCCAAATAGAATTATGATTTTAAATAAATATAAAAGTTTTGACATAAATCTTTAAGCAAACATAACGATACACCTACCATAATATGTTTCAATGATAGGTTGTCGAACTTCAACAGTTCTTGCAATGCCTTCAAATAAAAGTGTGACAGTATCAGCCCAAATGACATGGGAACGCTTTTCTCTTGGGCCAAGAGTTTGTGCAGATGCTAAATTCTGAGCTGTTGTCTCCTGGACCTGTGAGTAAAGAATACATTTGTCATAAAAATTAACATTCACATTCATGGTTTGTGAATCATTTTACCATATTCACCAACTGTACTCCTTAGTTTCACAAATAATTCTTTTGACATTTAGCTGAAGAAAAAAATATGCTATCCTCTATAGCATGTTTACCATGTCCTGTATCAAAGGTTGGTATTATTTTACTTTAGGACATAACGCGCCCTAAAGTTATAAACATTTATATCTCCCTATTCTGAGCATTTTGAACCCCATATATAACAGGCGGAAATGGATAATAGCGACACAATTGAACTTAATAGATTTTAAGTAGTTTTCAGTCTTCGTCTGTCAGGAAATGTTATCTGCGCATCACGCATGAGCAATGTTGACTGACGTCATCCAGTCGTGACCAATGATGTATCGATATCATCACGTGAATTTTTTTCGACCATCATATTTGATTTTTTTCAAAGGAAGCAGCCTGGGTACGATTTTAATTTAATTGACCAGTCTCACAATGGCCGTGGTGGAGGTTGGTTGTCATTTGTGCTCCTACGATTATTTTAAGTTTATTGCCGAGTTTTACGAAAAAGACGATCATTCTATCCAATTCTTACGTATCCCTGATCCTTCCACTTCTAAGGTACAGTATTGTACTTTCGTACATGGCGCGCCCCAAAGTTTTAAACTACTGAAACATCTAGGTTAGTTTAAGCTAGGCCTACCGGGGGTCCGGAGGCAGAGCCCCCGGCTAGGGGTTAGGTCTTGTTAGATTAGATGACAAGTTTTCGTTTTTTCCCCCACCCAAAATCCCTCATTTCCTAGGCTCTCCCCCATTATTGTTGGGGGGGCCAAAAAACTAGCAATCTCTGCCAAAAATGAAGGTCAGATTTGTTTAAAACACCAAAATACACTGGAGAAACATATTGGTCAACCCCTAAGGCCTCATGTTCTAAAGTAAAAATTTACCCCAAAGTTTACTGACTCATACAGCTTAAAAACAAAACAAAACAGAAACAGTTTATCACATTGGTGGTAAAGGTCTGGATGAAAGGTTTCATTTAATAGTAAACAAATAAGAGTACACATTGATCCCTCTCTTACCCTGGGGGTGAATAAAATAATGAACTAATCCTCTGTAACACAAATACTGTAGGTCATGGTAGGTACTGTAGGCCTTTCCATTAACTGATTAATCATCATTAGTGTGAAAAGTGACATTTTGTGCTTCTTGCCATACCTGAACTGTGGTACAAATGGCGTGATAGCTTGACTAAAACAATGATGAAGATGTTCATTGGTGACGTGACAGCGGTATTTGTTCTTCAGTAAATTCACGGCGGAGGAAGCAGACTCACAGCAGTATGTGGAGCCAAGCAGGTGAGGACATGTACGGTAATGGGGCTGTAGAGACTTTCTGTGTCCAGAGAGCGACGGGATGTCAGTCACCAACCTCCTCTTTCAAGGTCATATTTCCTGGGATTTCAATTACTACGGTAAACCCCGATATAAAGGACACCATCTATAATGGATCTGAGACGGGTCTTACTGTTTCTCTTTGGTGCTGGGGGGGTAGCAGATAGCGTGGAATGGAATGGGACGACCTCATCTTCATGGAACAAGCCGGCCTTCTACCCAAGTTCTGAGTTTTATCTATGAACGTTTAAATGGTTTTTATGAAAGTTCTATTTTATTTGTTACTTATGTTTTTTACATTACTGTCTTTCATTTTAGTCTTTTAAGCCTTAATTTTAATTCAGCGACAAATGATCTAAGCTGCTGTGTCACCAGGGATCTAAATACCACAATCAATCAATAATTATGTCAAAGTAAAAATTTGTGGAGTATCCAAATTATGAGCAATAATTACAGCAATACCCCATTAAGCCCTACCCTGCATAACACTGGTCCTCTCCTCCAGTTATTTTTTAATAAAAAGATGATCCATAATACAAGGCAGAAGTTACAAGACACAACACTCAGGACAGTGGCCATGCTAGTTTACAGTCTCTCCACCAATGAGAGCAAAGCACCCATGTACACTCTCAGCCAACCAGTGCTCTCCTTGTGTATAAATTTCTCCTGGTACCATTCAACTTACTTGACTCAATCACCCTTTATATGACTGATTTCCACATATTAAAGTGAATATTTGTGACCCAAGTTATTATTTAATAGAATATAAACATAAATTATGAAATCCATAATACTGTACATACAGGCCAGCTGTTCACCTGTGCCCGGCAGTGTAGCGGTCATTATTACGCTATGGATTCATATTGTTATCACCGCTGGCTTCAACTACAGAGCTGGCATTGCCTTACCCGAACAAACATTAAATCTAACAGCCTGCGACCAGATTTCAAAAGAAATTTCTGGGGAGCTTACAGCGCCGCCCTAGAGCCCCCCAGTTGGTTGCTCGCTGTGCTCGTCATGTTCACTCACCCACAATTTCCTGGACCCCCTTTTGATATTCCTGGATCTGCCCCTGTATGTATGGCATCTATGTTCACACAGAGAACTATAAGCCACTGACCTTAGCACAGAGATACGTTGTAAACTTCTTTAGCCCTTCTTCATGTTTATTCAAGAGAGGGAAAAGTTTGAAGAATCGATCAACACTGGCCATATCTTCTCTTTTGACTGCCTCATCAAACTTGTGTGTGATAAGCTGGCTCAGCTCCTTGTCAGCTTGACGTAAGCGGTCAAACCACGTCTCTACGCTTTCGGCTTAGAAGAAACATTGGGAGGAATAAAAATTAGGCTTAGCATACCGGTAATTATAATATTCCTTCCACAGAAATTTGTGCCATTCCTTGGAACCTAAACCCCACGAATAACAAGGGTTTATTGTATACAGTTACAGTATATCCACCAAATTTGAGGGGTTACATTCCTAAAGATTCCACAGATTACAAATACTGTACAGTTCCTACATCATAAACTGTATATCAATAATTTTTATGCGATACGAGTAAATAGGGCTTAAGTTCAGGTCCTAAAATATAAACTTAACATACACTTAAAAAAATAAATACAAATTATCATTCTCAACTCATGCTAACTAAATTTTATTGGGAAAAAAATTCATATCAAAGACGTGAGCAAACAATTTAAGTACTACAAACAATATCCCAAAATTAAATGGAGCAAAGGAGAGTACGAGGCCAGGAGAGGGGAAGATAAAACAAGAAGCACACGACTGTATCAACTGCAGTACTGTACTACAATAACAGTGTTAATTACTTATGCATTAATAACCCCATAGTGGACTTTTGGGATCAAGTATTACCTACTTACTGGTGGAAGTTCTAGAGACAACCACCACCCTTCACCACCAACCTGCTGCCACCCACCCAACATCAACCTGCTGCCACCCACCCAACATCAACCTGCTGCCACCCACCCAACATCAACCTGCTGCCACCCACCACCACCCTCCCTCCACCATTATCACCCCACACTGCAATAATCTCATTATGAAATTTCTTTTAAATTTTAAATCCATGTCACATCAGTTGAGGCCCTTAGGTCTAAAGTGTAAGAATTTGACCTTGAAGACATTCTGATTGTACAGACGTAATCAAACTTGATGTAACATTAAAAACAAAGACTGTTTATACCCAGCAGAGTGGTTCATTGTTGTGGATGACACTCAATTAGTGTGCAATGAAACCAAGATTCTCAGTAATGCTTTCTACTGCACTGAGTCTTATCACAGAATGATAGGGTGACATCTATCATGGTAGATGTAGACCATTACAGCACATGGCACTCTGATACCGAGTTTAAAAAGCATCTAATGGAATAATGGTACAGTAATATTGTGCACAAAAGTCCCTTCCACCAACCAGCCACAGTATGAGTCTGGATCATGTGAGACTGAATCAACAAAGGAGCTGAAGGAAATGTCTTGATGGTCCAGATGTTGGACCATCAAGACACTTCCTTCAGCTGCTTCACTGATTCAACTCAGGTGAGCTGGACTCACAGTGTGGCTGGTTACTGGAAGAGACTTTTGTGTATAATAATTCAACACTACCTAAGTACTGTATCAAGACTACCAAAGTAGAGAACATATATGGTAAGCTTCAGAACTCCCAGAATAAATTCACCTGCAAGAACTTTCATGTCTCAATATTTATTAATATTAATTTGTATAATGTGAGAAAATAATGTGTATAATGAGAAAATAATGTGTATAATGTGAGAAAATAATGTTACTGAGAAATACAGTACAGTACAGTATATGACATTGCTATATAATAATTGCGTCATTAAGCAAGAATAATCCTCATTCTCATCAGCAGTACAAATAACCCTATACGTCAGGTTCCCCAGTTATGAATCATCCTGCAGTAATGTCGTATAGTTCTCAATTACATTACTTTCCTACATTGTACACAGTGATGCTCAGTAAGTCATATAGAAAAAATTTATTCTAAGGGTAAGTATAGATCAATTTACCTTTACTTGCAGAATCTGTAGTGTGCAAAAGTAAAGTCTCATCCATGGCCAAGAAGCGATGGATGTGAGCTGCTGCAGTCTCATAATCTGAAAATGAAAAATATGTTTGTACTTTAAGTATACTGTACTGTACTGTACTGCATGCTGACGACCACATAGGAAAAAGAAACCACGAAGTTCCCGAGTGATTTTGTGTAATTCACATCTTGAGGGGTGAGTACAGAGTAAGGAGTAGTTACTGACAAGTATGACTGTGGTGTACAGTGAGTGGAAAAAAACAATATCTCATAAAATCTCTTCATGCTTAAACTCCAGAAACTTATGGAGAAGTTCTTAATGTGTACAGTACTTTACAGACCCATATTGATGATGTTATTAACACTTGTGCATTTTGGACGGTGCATGTGCGGTGATGAAAATTATGTAGGTACACTCGAACATTCTTTTAATTTCTAAATTATTTTTTAGCAAATAATTTTTTCCAGCTTAAGTGATATCCGCCTTAACAAGGTAGACCGAGAGGTAGCAGTGAACAACACACGTGGTGGCGGCAGGACACAAACTGAGCGGACATAAACGTACTCCACGAGCCAAGTGACACGTTTGGCATGGAATTTAACGGAATCAGCGCAATTCAGCGAAATAGTTCAGTAAATAGAGCAAACACGACGGAAAGATCAATTTAGCGGAAATTTCAATTTAATGAACAGGAGTGGCTCAAATTAGTTCGTTAAATAGAGAAAATACTCTACTGGGGTGGAGGTTGAGGCGGTGGTAGCACCCCCAAAGCCGTGAACATCAATGATTCAACAAAATCAATCAGGCCTCGATGGTGCTGGAAAATCAGTGGCCGACTTGTACTGTATGTCGTGGTAAGTCATCCATAACATCAATTGTGAACCTCCAGATGGCAGGTCTCACAAGGTGAGTGTTTCAACTTGTAACTTTTGACTAACTTTATGGATTTTTATAATATTTTCTTTATGACAGCACATATCATTGCCAATGGGCTTGTATTGGTTTGCAGAACACATAATATTTGTGGACAATGTTTCTGCCCCTCAACCAACTGAGTGAAGTTTCTGACTCTTTGATCCAGTAAATAGCACTGTTCTGTACTAGCTAATAGCATAAATAATATTTGTACCACTTCCCTCTATTTACCGAGCACAAATATTGATTGTTATCTTGCATCACTCGCAAGCACACATTAGCATCCTGAACTATAAAGGTGTAGCTAGATAAAATTATCAAGGCCATGATAGGGGGCAAGATGTATCACAGAAAAAAAAAGGAAATTCTTGTTCAAATAGAAGTGAAATACAAAACACTTACCTTCTTGAGCAAGAGCTGTTGCTACCCCTCCACTGCATCCTTCAAGGTCTAACAAATCTCCTACTCTAGCTTGAGTTTCCACAACTCGACTCTGTGAAATCAATGTAGCTTGTTAAAATGAGGAGCCAGTGAAATTTTATTTGATAATAGTTTACTATACAGTACTTACCCCCAGTGCTCTATTCCTATACTGCACAGAACTACATACAGTACTGTGATACAGGTACAGTATATTACAGACATACCCGCATTACAGAATTTTGAAATTATGATAAATTCAGGGATGGAAAATAACTCGCCCTTACAGAATTTTGGAAAATTTTACCAAGTGTAAAAATTATTCCCTATGGTAGCCACAAGGTGGTTGGAAGGCTGCTCCCCTCTCTAGTTGGCAGCATTCACCACAACAATGGAGCTGCTCAGTTAGAATTCTTCCCCAGTTTGTGTTCAGTTATGAATCTGTGTTACTGTGTACCCTTATTTAATATGAATGGAAAAAGGCCATCAAGTTTAAGTGAAAACAGTGGTGATAAAATATTCCATAAAGGAATTGCATTAAATTGATGTTTTAAAGAGGTAACTCCCAGTAACTCTGATCCCACCACCTCACCTCACCAACTCCAGCAGCACTCAACATCATTTTTGTTAAGTTAAATCAAGTGTTTAGTTCATTTATTATCATGTTACATCATGAATAACTCATTGTAAGTGGTCAAAACCGTCTAATTTCATATATACTGTGTAAGAGATTGCGTTATGTTTTTGGGCCTCAAAAATTTTCCATGGGAACACATCTCGGCTTATATAATGGAAGTCAATAGGAAAAAATAGTTTCGCATTACGGAATTTTGAGTTAGAGAAAATTTTTCAGGAAGAGAACCCTTCTGTAACACCAGGGGATGCCTGTAGTATGACTCAGATGTTACAAACTGAAAAGAATCAATATATAACAACACTATATCTTGATAGTACAATAATGGCAAGCAACTGTTCCTGATGGTCACTGTACACTATACCCTTCATTAATTTGATAAAAAAGGCCCTCTGGGTCATTTGAATCACCAAAAAATCTAAATTAACCGAGTTTAGAATATTTTACCATTACAGGGTATTCGACAATTTCCAAAATTTTTGTGTTCGATTCATCATATTACAAGTTATTGATAATTTTTACAATGGTTCGGACTGGGCTGTTCTTATAGCGATCAGTTCGTGCTCGTATGGGCTGGATGCGGTTGTGGTGTCGAACAGCAATTCTCGGGCGAGGGATCTCGGGTGGTAGTAGGAGCCGGTGTCGAGGATGGTTTTGTGTGTGTGTACACATATACTGTATACTGTTCAATACAGGTAAAAGAAATAATTGTCCTAAGGGCAAACACATAAAGAGAATACATTTCTTTGTACACAAGTAAAAATGTAACACCCCTTGGCTATTCGTGGCCATTTTCAGACCTAAACCTCGCAAATTTTAGGGACATGCTGTAGTGACATTTGTTCTCTCGTCTTCCCAGCGAACTCGTAGGATGAAACGTAGACTACTTTGGTGAGTTTTCAAGTGCCTTGAGGTGCCTCCTGTATGTGACCCATTTCTCGCTGCCATATACCAGGGTGAGGAGGACCATTGCTCGATATACGTGCAACTTTGTAGATAATTTCAGCTCCCTACAGCTGAAGATATGGGTACGGAGTCTGCCAAAGGCTTGAGATGCACATCTGATCTGATGTTGAATCTCTTCATTGATGTCCGTGGTGGTGGACAGGTGGAAGCCGAGATACTGAAAGTGGGTAACATTAGAGAGGGTAGTACCGTTAAGCTGGATGGATGGTGGAGGTGTGGCTGAACCAGGGGCAGGTTGAAAGAGAATCTGAGTCTTATGTACATTCACCTCAAAACCAAAGTGCACATACACATCTATGTAGGTGTTCCGTACCTCCTGTAGGTCGCGTTCAGTGTGAACAACGAAGGTGAGGTTGTCTGCCTACTGGAATTCAGTAATGGATACTGCTGACACCTTTGTTCCTGCCTGGAGTTGTCTTATGTTGAAAAGATCTTTCATCTGGTACTGGATGTTCACCCCGCTGGTTTAAATTGGCACTGGCACGAGTAAGAAATGCAGCCAAGAAAATGGAAATGGAAAAGACAGTTGGTGCCAGTAGACACCCTTGTTTAACCCGTTTGGATGAGGAAGAACTCAGACTGGGTGCCATTGTGCAGGACAATGCCGTACATGCCATCGTGGAGTTGCCTCACAAAGGCAATGAATTTTGGTGGGCGACCAAACCGGCTGAGGGTCCGCCAGAGGGTTCCGCTGTTGATTGAGTCGAAGGCCTTGCGGGTCATGACCCTGTTCTCTACACTTTTCCTGTATCTGGCGGGCAGCAAAGATCATATCAGTGGTGCCACTTGATAGTCTCAAGCGATAATCTTGCCAGCTACAGACAGCAGTGAGAACCAGCGGTAGTTACCACAGTCTGACCGGTCTCCCTTGTTCTTGTAAATATTGATGATGAAAGTGTCTTTAAGAGCTTGGGGGATTTCCTCCTTTTCCCATATATTCTCCCTGGTTTATTCACTGATCAGTTGTCTAAGTGCAAAAGTAGCTGAATATATCCATCATGTATCAGTTAATTTTAAAATAGAAATTAGAAATTAAAATTTTATAAAACAATGGTTTAGTAGTTTTGTGTAAGGTGTTTTGGGACTATAATATGCTGACAATCCATAGTTTGGAAAATTCCCTGGTCCGGCACCGGTCAGGTCACGAGGGTGCTGGATCAGGGAGGTACGATCTGTAGTATTCCAGGATATTTATTTTTCCAGTGTTACATATGGGTTGTCCAACTGGCCAGGAACACATCCCATTGAACCCCATGTTATAATGAACCTGATTTACGATATTTTGACCTGCAATTGGGTTTCCAGGAAACTAAACCTAACATCGCAAATAGAGGTTTACCTGTACAGTAATAACTAACCTTTGCCAGATCTAGCTGTCGCACTTTGGCAGACACATTGTTTGCCAAATGATGAGTGAACGATATTGTGTTTTCAAGTTGCCGTGCATCAGCCTGGACCAACTGAAGTGTTGGAACCAAACGAGCTAATTGGGAAAGACGTGCTTCCAGATGATGACGATTGCCAACACTCCATTCTAGACGTTCAGCTACTGCTACCTGTCAGGTACAAAAACCATTAGTAAATATACTTATATACTGTACACAGAGGGCTGCACATTCCCATACACCCACTCAGCCATGGTGACCAAAGTAACATAAGGTCAACAAGATCTCACAGCAACTGTTTAGTTATCCCCCAGCAGGTGAGTTGGTCATTGGTAAAGGATTAATATGATTGGACTCAAATCACACAAGGTTAGTTTGGTTATGTTAGGATTATGTAGTTAGGTTAACTTTATTTGTTAATTATCTCAAGGTGGTGAGTGGTGTACTGTTTGGAGTGGTGACTTGTACAGAAACCAGTTAACAGACAAAACTCAGTTGACTAATAGTCTGAGGATTTTTATTACTGTCTGTCATTTAACCCTTGTTAAACATTACACACTGACAATGTCATGTATTGCATATATTTCCTTTACTGTCTTAAACTGTTACTGTAAGTGGTTAGCAAATGTAATACAGGCACTATCATATTATGGAATAAATTATGTTGGTGTTTACCTTTACTTTAAATGTTCTCTTGTTCTAATTGGGTTTTGTTTTGTTCTGTTGCAGATGTATATGGACTTATGAGTTGAATAACGCCTTGATTACTGAAGGTGTTTGATATCATACGACAGGCACACCTAGGGCCGGCTCTAGGTCTCTAGAAGCCCCACCTCACAACCCATATCTTAATGAAAATAGTTCTAAGCGTATGAAGAACCAGAATTCATGGCTAGAGCCTGAAAAGTTGAAATTCACAAGAAAAGAAATATGTGGGTCATATTAAGACATTGATGCTTGAAGCTGAGAGAAAATACTGGCAAGTAAATCACTGTAGGTGCGCGTGATCTAGGTATATACTCACCCCTGAAGATGTGAATTACACGAAAGCGCTTGGGAACTTCGTGTTTTCGTCTTTCCTTGTGGTTATCAGCATACTGTATATATATATATATATATATATATATATATATATATATATATATATATATATATATATATATATATATATATATATATATATATATATATATATATATATATATATATATATATATATATATATATATATATATATATATATATATATATATATATATATATATATGCCTACCAAATCTTTCTCTATTTTCTTCCATTAATCTTCCGCCATTATCGCCTACCCGACCTCTCACTCAGCGCGTTTCCTTCATTAATCGTCACGTGCATGCGTTCCCGTATACGTCATGCGGCCAACCTAAGCAGAGTTTTTTTTAGGCCACCAATTAAAATGAATTGTGGTTTCTGCTTTTAGAATTGGTGGTATTTTTTGCCCAATTAGATACTATTGTGATTTTGGGTCTCATATTTCGAAATTAAAATTCATTTCCGACCATGGAAGTCTGCGATGGGTGTCACTTCAATTATATGGAGTAATTCCCTCATACGGTGAGAATCTGGTTATGTAAAAACACCGTAGAGTTAGGTTAGGTCAGGTTACGTTAGGTTTATATGTTTTTCTAGTGTTTTTTGGTGTATTTTTTATCCACATGACCATGATTTTTGTCGGAAAACGCCCCACCCTAAACCCCTGTCCCCAGCAGGATCCTCTGGGGGTAGAAGGGGGCGATAACTAAAAAAAAAACAGGCAATTTCAGACGGAAATCAAGGTCAGAACCAATCAAAACACACAAAAATACACTAGAGAAATATAGTTTTGACTTTCTAACAGAGTTGTGTGAAGTACTGTAAGGTTACCTGCCCGACCATGAACACTGAACCTCCACGTCACATATCAGAAAACTTGAAAATTGGGGTGATCCTTCACAGCTTTCAGATATATCAACAGAGAGAATAAATCCTCACCTCTTCCTCACAAAGCTCCTCATAAGCTTTCTTTATATCAGTTAAAGACGTTAACTTCCTGGGGTCCACCTCAACCAGGCCTTCCATGTTTACCTCCCAGACCCACACCAAGGAACAGGGAGAGTAAGACCGCCGACTGAGGCGTGTAGTGAGTGTCGCCGCTTGGTCACTAGATGGCGCTCATTACTTTGAGGACAAACTTGCGTCCGTTGTATACTTTCCTCGGCCTAACATCTGCTTCCTGTTTGATAAATCACACAGTTCAAAAGATGTTTGTCACAAATTTGGGGTTGGGTGAGTGTAAATAAAGAGAATTATGGCCTGTTCTGTGAATGAAGTCAGTAGAATACCTGTACTGTATTAGGTATTATACTGTGTGCACCGTCGGTCAGTAATATGCCGTTTGATTTTTTGGTGTTTATTGTCTCAATATAGAAGGCACCAATACCTGAAGTGTACAGAACAGGAATTAACACACATAGGCTACACCATCTCACACATATACTTGTACACACACTCCAATGGCTATACGCTTGGAACAGTACAGTAAGGTACGTACCAGCGCCTTGAGCATTAGTTTGTGAACTTAATAGCAAGTTAACCATTTTTTCAAACAGCTTACAGATACTGGAAGTCAGAGCCAGTTTACAGATACAAGAGGTCAGAGCAATGAGGCGATATTCTAGCGGATGAAGGCCCTTTTTTCCAGTCTTCTTCAAAGGCAGTACAGTAGCCTCCTACCATGAGGATGGGATGGCACCCGCTTGCCAAATCCTGTTATATAGCTCCAATAAAAAGGTCTGTGCCTCAACTTCAAGGTGGTGGAGCATTGAAAATGGAATATCATCAGGCCCTGGTGATGTATCTCCAGTAAGTGAGAGGGAGGTTCTCTGAGGATCAAGCTGCCATTCAAGACACATCTGCAAATGCTGTGGCATAAACCTCTGCTACTTCGTGAGGAGAAGTAACTGAGCTGCCATCATTAGCCTTGACAACTGGGGGAGGATTAGATGAAACTTACTTGCTATTTTCTGCACTCCATTCCATACCTGGGACAAGGGAGTTTTTTCGTTTAGAGACATAAGAAAAGGACTGGCGATGGGCATCCTTTTAAAACTCAATGAACTTGGGCTCTGGCCCGTTTGTATTCCACATGATAAAATTCTGTTCTATGATGCCTGTAGTGACCATAAGCTCTGTGTCACTTAATAAATGCCTGTCTGCACTCCTCTGACCACCAAGAAACAGGTCTGCGAGCTACACGAACAGAGGTCAGAGGAATGGAGCAGTGACCACCCCATGGGAGGAGACTGGCTAGGGCTAGGTATTCAACCGCTTCATCTACTGAGGGAAATTCTTCAGTACTCCTGTCTACCTTCACTAGTTCCTTGAAAAAGTCCCAGTCTGCCTTGTCTAACCGCCAACAGGGAACTCATGGTGTTGGGAGGACTTCTGGAGAGGAAAGTAGGACAGGGTAGTGGTCACTTCCCCAAAGGTAGTCTGTTACTCTCCAGTAGAGAGTTCTGCTGAGCACAATGAGAGATCTATGGCTGTAGTCATGTCGGTCTAGATATGATAGTGGGTGATATCACCGGTATTTAATATACCAAGGTCCATTTCTTCAATGAACGAAGCTATCAGTTCACCCCTTGGATTAACTATTGTAACACCCAGGAGGGTCTGCCTTCCATTAAAATTACTGAGGATGAGATAAGGAGAAGAAATTTGACGAATTACTGAAACCAAATCCTTCCTGGCAATTGGTGTACTGGGTGGGAGGTAAATGGATCCTATGGTGCAAGTGATAGATAATGGGCTATAGGGTACACCACACTTGTCTGGGATAAGGACGGCTGTACCCCCATGATGCATCTGTTCTGGATTATGAGAATAAAAAGCCAAATATCCTCTGGGAGGGGGATGATCATAGGCACCTAACATTGTCCCCTGGAGACAAATGCATATAGGGGAGAATTTGCTCAGGAGCAACTGGAGCTCTTCCCAGGTGGATCGTATGCCAGGGGTCTCAGCTGTTAGCTCAGTTTTAACTGGGGTCTCATCACCATAAGCTTCTGGAAGAGGATGTGTCGGCATCTCTGGGGGAGGAGGCGTCAGCCTGAGCTAACATCTGTTGGAGTGTCTAGGACTCAGAAATGGGGTCAAGTTACCTTGTTCAGAGGATCGTCTACCTCAAGAGACTGAGGAACCTCAGTAGCGATTTGTTGAAATTCTTTTAGTACCAGCAAGGCTAGTGGAGGAAAGATGAGGAGTAGTAGCAGATGTGCCCTCCTCATCCATATGGACCTCAGCCACTACAAGAGAAGTCTGAAGATTGGTGACATAGAGTCGGGTGTGAGAGTTGAATTCAATATACAGTAGGTACAGATAATTTTCAGGGCGGTGTTGCAGAAACAGTTGGCCGAGCCTTGTATCAGGACAGAACCTGTACATACTAGGTATCTCCATAACTTGAGACACATTTAATTGGTGTGTTTCTGGCTTCAGGAAAGCTCACTTTGTCTCTCATGTCTCCCATACAGATCTTAAGTAGTATCTCTTTCTCAGGATCAGGTCTGGGGTCCACTTACCTGATCCTGAATTGTGTCATCAGGAAGGTTATCCCTAATCCCCACCCTACCTCAGCTCAGGAGACAGGTCATGTGACCTGAATCCTTTGTTCTATATCTTTCTCCCCTATTTCGTTCTGTTAGTTGGCTGAAGAAGGTCCTAGTACTGTATCTTCAACATGCATTGTTACATTTGTGAAATGATAGTAAGCAATAAAATTGGTAAGAAAACAAAAAAATACATAAGGAATTGAAGCAGATGACAGTTTACATGCTATGATTGCCAGCATGAGTTGAATGCTGGCTCACTGACATACACAATTTCAATACTTTTCAGCAGACTACTAGTATTGTACTCTACTCAGTGCAGTTCAGTTATACATTTCTAGTTAAGGAATAAATATTGGATTTAATGACTTTGCTGGGCCTTAAGTGAGCTGTTATGAAAGGGTTATGGAAAGTCATTTGATTTTTTAAATTTATATTAAGGAACATCTTGATGGTAATGCTTACTTGTATAACTTTTATCACCTGTAAACACTTATTAAAATACTGTATTCTTGTCCACATTGTAGATAAAGGACACTCTGGTCATTGTATCTCTGATTAATAAAGTTTAAACATCACAACCAAGAAGAATATATTATACATCTCTATAACAATATATTACAAGAAGTAAATTAAAGTTTTTCTACAAACTAATCACTCAAATATAATTTGTTACAACTTCCAAATTAGTTACTGGATTAATAAGTGGCAGTGCCAACTACTGTACATAAAACATTCTTGAAAACTTCTCTATTCTTCATAAACATCAACTGTGAGCTGAAGATTACAATTTAAAGTTGAGAAGTGAAAATAATTGAATTAATATAGTATCTTTAGAATGAAATATCATGTTTTATGTGAGTGATTCTTTTGGACACAGGGCCTATTACATGTCTATATCTTGCATGGAAGAAATTCTTCAGGGATAATTTTGATCTATGGTAGGAGAGCCTTCAAGATTATGTTCACAATATTCTGGCATTATTTTATAAAATTGACAGTGGTTAATGGAATATGGATTACTGAGGTGTATGGTGTCAATATGTGAAGACACTAAAACAGTATACAGTACTGTACTGTACTGTACAGTATTTGACTGATGAGAGTGGCAATAAATATACTGTACAGGAAGGCCAAAGGTACAATGGAAGGATATATTATAGTCTGGGATTACAAATGTGAGATAGATATATTATTGAGATATTAACAATATTAACAAAGATATGTCAAGAATGGCTTGTGTGGAGAGGACTGTGTATAAAGTCCACTTAGCAAACTCAAGGAAAATTACTACAGGATAGAAACAGAAAATTTCAGACATTTAGCAATATCATCACATCAACACATCTGAATCTTATGTTATCCAATATAGTATACTTCTAATTTTCTAACACAGAATCATGTGAATCTTTCCAATTTATTTACCCACATATTTTTTTTTTTTACCAAGGTAATTTATTCTCCTGGGAGTCTTGTGACCACTAATCCTGAAACCTTGACAATATTTAACCCTTTCGGTCTCCAAAGATGCGAAGAAGTTCAAGGAATAAGTTCAGAATATCCAGGTAGAGATTAATTGTAGCTAGAATGTATTCCTCAGGTGATAGCTTCGTCATCATCATCTGGAAACGGAAATTAACAAATCTTTAGTAAAATTAAATACAGAAACAGCTGTGAGGGAGGGGCTACATGAAATGCCATCCTGCATTGGTAGTGAAGACTAAGAGGTTATACATAACACATAGCTGAAAATAGAAATGCCAATTTATGATTAAATGATTTCATGCACAACGTGTCAGTTTGAGAGCACACAAGGCCTTTGTGAGAGAGCCCACATCAACACTTTTGGAATACATTGACAAGTTACTTTTTCAAGTTACTCATCTAGTCTTATAATTCATAAAAAAAACAAGGTTTTCCTGTAAGGTGGCAACTATCATGTAAAACAGAATTGCTGATGACACTATTCGTATAAAAAAAAAAAAAAAAAAAAAAAAAAAAAATATATATATATATATATATATATATATATATATATATATATATATATATATATATATATATATATATATATATATATATATATATATATATATATTATATATATATATTTATATATATATATATATATATATATATATATATATATATATATATATATATATATATATATATATATATATATATATATATATATATATATATATATATATATATATATATATATATATATATATATATATATATATATATATATATATATATATATATATATATATATATATATATATATATATATATATATATATATATATATATATATATATATATATATATATATATATACAGTCAACCCTCACTTTACGCGGTTCATATTGCAATCACAAAAACTAATGAAGATATAAAGTAATGTATAAACATTTTCATTAAGCGTGAACAAAAAATTTGTGTTCTACTCTTGCTTACGTATAGCAATAATTATTTTACAGTATTGTGATAATTCATGTAAGATACTTTGTAGATAATTTATTTACAATGCTACTGCAACAAATACCACCTTTTTATCTCAAATAACAAGCATGTTATGACACGATCTGTACAATTATCTCTCGTGTGGTGAGGTGAGTTACAGGCCAGACCCTGAGTGTCTCACCAGAGAGCACCTCCCAAACCCAAGAGTGTTAAGAGAACATCAATTTAAATTTTCCTCACATTTCACATGCTGATAACCCACAGTCGGGGGTTGAATAAAAATTGGAGAATGACTCTGAAAATCAAGATGGTATATCAAATGAATATTTCACAATTCTGTATAACCTTAAATCTTAACAAAAGTGAATAATGCTTGTAGTACTGTACTGTACCTGGGTGTCATACACTATGAAGAGACAGAAGATGAGAGCAGATCCTCCAGCTAATGCCAACTCTAGACCACTGCTTCCCAGGAACACATTCATAAGACTCAAACCAATCATTATCATCAATGCAATAATCAGTCTGAAAACAAAGATGTTAATATATTAATTACAATGTAATGTATATAGGTAAAGAAGGTTGAAAGTGAATAAAATCAGGATGTACCATTATACATAATAATCTGAGTTTAAATACAAACTGTCCATGTGACCAAGACCATCTAAAACAGCACACTGCATCTTCACTTGTCCCTCTAACAACCCCACTAACTGTATTGTTATTATTGCACATAACAGTACAGCAAAAGGTTTATTTTGGGAGCTACTTAAAGTGACTGCCCAAGGACAAGGGAAAGTCTGAATTCTTTGGACCTTTATTATGATAATGAAATGAAAACAATTAATTTATGTCTATGATATTGCAGCTTCTTCATGTTCTGACCATTGCTTCTGTACTACAGTTGTACTGTAGTAATCTTTCTAACACATCAGTAATCATCAATTGAAAAAAATGTCTCTGAATGATACAGATGTAGCCATTCAAACTGGAAAGTTAACCAGACTGTGATGGTTCCCTAAAAAAAAATTTACTCTGCTTCAGCAGATTATGGAAAATGCAATACAAGTTATTTTTTTTTCTGTAATAAGATTTTAAAAAATCAGTTTATATACAATAAATATTTTTCTGGAATTATATAAAGAAACAAATTATCATTAGCTATTTGTGGATGAATGATAATTAATTATATATGTAACAAAAGTTTGAACACTCACCCTGCCCCCATGCTTGTAAAGTCTCTCTTGGTCTGGAAAGTGTAAGCTGTGAGGCCTCCTGTGATGATAAGCGTCATGACAAAGGCTTTCACTACCACTTCTGCTTCATACATGCTCACTGCTACTCCCACAGTGATGGCCTCAACCACAGTAAATGCTGCCAGTAGCATGAAGTTGATAGGGACATGATGTCTGGAACAATATTAAACACAAATTGTGACGACTAATAAATATTCTTTATAAAAAAGTCTACTCTAAGATTTTTTATTTATCAGAGTTAGAGTTTCAAGTTATTCTAAATGAAAGATTAAGCTTAGGCTGGAGGTGAAGCAACCCTTCGGCTGTGGCTTAATACACTCCAAAGGGTCATCTTTATACAGGGTTGCTTCCCAAAAGAGATAAAGTTATTGTAAATTCTTGCACCAGCTATGTCACTGAGTTATGGTAACAGTCCCACTCCTGGCATCAGTGTTACCATTCAACACAGCAATATTTGCTTCCTATGTACCATATCACAGCTCTTATATAGACTCACTTGTAAACTAAACTTAAAACAGAATAATCATTTATTGAATTCTTAATGTCTTTTTATGATGAAGGCTCCCAAAGTCTACTTGCCTAGGTGGCTGTGATTAAGTCAAATCAGAGAATGCTGTTAAACTTCTTCTAAATTGTCAGAAACTCATCAAAATGCCTCACAATTATCTAAATAAAGATGACAACAAACTTAAGACTCCTTTTTAATGTTCCATACCTGTACAATAAATATAAACTGTAGCAGAGAAACTAAAAGGTCTCCTGGTACAGCACAAGTATCAGATTCATCACACTGGCAACAGTTTGTTGTTATATCTTCTTCAGCCAGGCTATACAGTAATACCTTGATATAAGAAGTGTGTAGGTACATTCCTGGAGCTTCACTCCTATATTGAAACATAAATCATAACTTATCATTCACATTACAGTATGAACAATGATAATTTATATTGAAAATAGTACACTAATTTATTCTGCACACTGTTCAAATTAAAAACTGACATTATCTACAATTGTTTAACTGTAAAGCCAGAAAAAACAAAACATCTACCGTCTGTCTGCCCGACACTTAAATGAATAACTTCCAGCTCCTGCTCTAGTCTTTTAACTGCCCCATTCACCATCATCACTTGATTTCCTTTGAAGACAAAATATCCCCATTTAGAGCAGCCCCACAGTGCCCTGGTTTGTTACAGCATTCTTGGTCCAGGGGGTAAATTTGTCTACATACGGTAAACTTCCTTTCATCCTGACTAATTGGTGGTGGGGGCTGCCCAATTTGTCCAAAATGCTGGGTTTGGTGGGAGTCCATATTGCAGGGTGGTAAATTCCAGAAGTTAGGGGGGATTTCCAAGTCAAGCTGCCTAAGAACACTGAACCTACTGCAATTTTGAGCCTAGACTTAACACTCAGGGTTTTTAATAGAGTGGGTTTAAGCCACTTGAGGTTTAAACACATGTGAAAATTAAATTTTTCGTCAGTCTCTTTATGTGCTCTCGGCAGCATGGCACTAGCATTTATGTACAGCGGTACTCAGCGAGTCACCGAGCAGCTGGTGTTGCCGGGAGCTGTCATCATAAACAATATAACATACTGTATTAAATAATAGAAAAATACAATACGTAATTTGATTTAAAAATAAAGAGACAATCTGAATCAGAAGGTAATTTCTTCCCTGCCAGCACAGATGGGACTATTTGTTGCCTCAATCATGTTTGTTTTTACTTATTCATTATATTCTTTTATGATCAGCCTCTTATGGTCCATATTTCAGCATTAATAACATAAAATATTAAATACAGTAATAGAAAAACTATGATATATAATTTGTAATTTTAATTTAAAATAATGGAGACAGATGGACTACACTAGGTGTGTGTGTGTGTGTGTGTGTGTGTGTGTGACATGGGTGATGCAATATGCCCCTATCTTCCGCTCTCTTCCCGGGAGGATTACCATCACCTTGGTTCAAATTATTTTACCTAAAATCTGTGTGTTGAAATTATAGCTAACCAATCACAGTGCAGCATTATGGGTGAGTCCATTCTAAGAGTGGGGGAATAAACTGCTCACTCACTTGTCTGAGAGGAGGAAAGAGGCCAAGAGATTGCTGGCTGGCAGCAATTTCAAATGACTGCTTGCGGTGGAAATTTCCAATGACAAACATTTAAGGGTTCTGACTAATGTTTCTTGCCGGACTATCTGAAATCTGGATTTACGGGGTCCGGACATTTGAGAGTTTATTGTATTATATCAATGATCTAATTTGACTTAAAAATAAAGAAAATATAATACAAATAATGTATAATTCCATGCTCTAATGTGACTTAGAAATAAACAAAATACTATATACTATTATATAAAACTATAAAATAAGAAAAAAATGAAGTGAGAATGAGAACTGAGAAACAAATTCTGTGTGAGGGAGGTAGGGCAGGTGGCTGGCTGGACTCAACCCATGACCCCTTTATAATAACAGTACAGTATGTAATTTCACCATTATTCCCATATTTCTTTGGTCCATTTGGTGCTGGGTTAATAAAATATTATTTTAAAATGACCCCCCCCCCCACAAAAAAAAAATCCCAAACGCAACTCCAGATGAGTTATTGAGTCGTAATAAATTCCTGGTACTGACCAGCCAGCAAGCCCCGACACCAACCTGTCTCCATGTTAATGTGTACAACTATTCTTTATATAATATGTAGTGTTATTAAAGTAGCTTTGTAACATTTTATGTGCACTTTTGGGCCTCTGGAACCTAACTAATTCTTTCAAATCAATTCAAATACTGTATAATTTTCGATGTCTTCTGGTACCTAACCCACAAATTATTACGACTACACTGTAAGATGAACTTCCTTTTACTGTACAACTGAAGAGAATTAGTGCTAGAGTCTGATGCTTTAGTTTTGACCCTGTGACCTGGAGCCTAACTGGAGTTTGGGTCAACCACTGGATCAAATACAGTAGTTTTGAAGTTTTGACCGTGATTCAACTGGACAAAATGGCTGCTTGCAGGGAAAAAAATTTCTGTCCAGAGAAGAGTATTATGTTGTGTGCTCTGGAAAAGGCAGGTTCAACCAGTTGGTGTTTCACTGGTTTGAATTTCACAGATCACTCACTGAGGAAACGAACTTAATTTGAGAAAAATAGAAATCTAAAACTCATGATAAATTTTAGGATTTCTCACCTATGACCATAAAAATCTATCAAACTTAGTAACCCTCTCATGCATCATGACACAAATTGTGTTGAATCATTGGGGGTAGCACTATAGTATTTGCATTGGTGACATGAATTGCATCATTAACTTTAAACAACCCCCAAAATAAGTTTTCAAGACAACTGCATTAAATTTTTGTGCATCATAGATGACTGTATGATCTTGTGAGGGAAGCTTCCAGAAAGTACCAAAGTGTGGGTAGAGTTTCACTGTCCATCATTTTCCTGCCATCAGCTGTGCTGGTAGGTCACATTTGTCTCTTTATTTCCTCTCACTTCCTCCACACTATTAGTTGTATCAAAATTCCAAAGCCGCCATTATAAAGCTCATAAAATTTTACCTCTATAACTCTATAAAACCTTGGTAGGTTTATGAGAAAATCTGACATATGATGCTGGGAATGCAAGTAATTTTTTTTTTTATTCAGTGAAAAAATATATGGTACAGTAGCCTTATTTGCATCTTATTTTTTCTCCTTATGTCAAAGCTAAAACAATAACACAGCCAATGATGTATAAATCACACAAAAGTAACAATTTCTTGTGGGATAAATTAGCCATAAAACAAAGATGACCAGACCTCACCTGAGTGGTCCCATTTGACTTTTGTTGTGGTCATGGGAACTTAGAAACTTATTGTATGCACGAGAGTTCGTTCATGAAAAGCATGTCAGTCATGTTACTCTTTAGCATGACAATTGTTACTGCATAATTATAAACCAATATATTGTGTCTCATGTTTGCTTAAACAAAATTCATCTGAGAATGTAGAACTAACAAGGGTAATCCAGAGATAAAAGTGTGTCAGAGTAATCAACAGAGAGAAACTGTAATCCTCCATATTGGTAAGTTTACCTTTTCACATGAAGGGCAACCAGGAGACCAAGGGTAAGTGGGAGGCACAATATGAGCATCCATGGGTTGGTATGGATGGTCTGACGGAGGACTGGTGTGTAAGCAAACGCTGCTGCCACAACTGTAGTAACAAGTAGCTGCACTGACAGAAGTCCATACACCTTGCGCAAAAAACCTGCAATTATTTATTACTTGTAACACACACTTTACTTATGCAGTATATACTACAGTATACTCCACAACATTTTCTTCCTGAAAGTGTTTAACATAACTTAAATACTGTACTGATAGACAAAGAATACATTACTGTACTGAACTGAAAATTCATTAACCAATAACAAAATAAACATTTTAACTGACTTCCTGTGTATTATAAACAAATTCCTAGAGGGGACTCTTGTATTTGTGTATGAGTCGACATGTTCCGCTGGGAACAAATCGCCTGGGTAAGAGTTGTCCTTCACTCCAAACATGTTACCTTCTTTATACAATTTTTCTAAAGTTGTTTGTTAACCCAGGACCATGTTCCAGAGTTTTTACCAAGTGTTAAAATAATAATTAATTTTCTTTCTCAATACAGTTTCAGAAATACGAGTTATGTGAACAACTACTAAGTGTTGAATAGTATAAATTAAAGTATATAGAGGTTAATAATGATGACTTACATGCTAAGGCATTATTTGATTTGACGTTTATTTTCTTACAGCATTTCATCAGTGAATTGATATGATATAATTTCTCGTGCAAAAGGCTTCTTTTGGTAGATAATTAGGTGCCTCGGCGTGCACTACTTTGTCTTTCTCGGCGGTGATGCCGCATCCAGGATGTAAACAGCCAATCATATTGATTTATTTCAAAATACTCCGCCGCGCTCTCTGCCGTGCTCTGATCGACGTCTACAGTCAGTGTACATTTATGAGCTGCTCGGTCCAGGAGCCTGCTATCACTTCCACAAAAAACGTAAAGGTAATTATTGGTGACTGCCCTGCCACTGATTTTCATAGAAAACAACTTTAAACATGCCAGAATTTCACTGTTTTAAAGTGGACACTTTCTTAGTTTTAGCAAATGTGTTAATAAGTGGCTATTTCTAAATTAAACCAAACCTAACCAAACCTTAGTTGATAAGAAAAACAAGCAAACAGAAATGTTGTTAGAAGAACTCACCAATCTAACCTACTCATGGGGCTTCAACTCCTCATAGACGTACACTGGCGCTGATTGGAGGGTCAATATAAAATATTAACTGGGACAACATTGTAGGTGACTATGAATCTGAAGACTTCCTAGATGCAGTACAGGACAATTTTTTGAAACAACTAATTACAGAACCTACTAGAGGTGACAATATATTAGACCTGGTATTAACATATAAAGAAAATATTATCAGAGATATCACAGTAGGGAAAGAACTAGGTAACAGTGATCACAGAGAAATCAGGTTCACCCTAAATTGGGAAACGAAAAACAATGACAATATGGTCAGAGTCCCCAAACTTTCGGTTGGCGGATTATCAGGGGTTAAGAAGGTACCTTGGTGAGTCACCTGGGAACAGTCACGTCAGTCCCCAGTAGGAAGGGGTGAGGTCATAGATGACAGCAATTGTTCATGACTATAATATATTCACTGGTATACTACATAAAGCACAAGAACAAAATATGCCATACAGAAAAATTAGTTCAAATAAAAATGAGCCAAGGTGGATGACCAGAAAACTTAAACATGACATAGGAATACGGAAAGGAATTTATAAGAAATTAAAGGGAGGGGAGGAGCAGCTCAGAAATAGGTATAATGAACTATCTAGGAATGTTAAGAAAAATGTAAGGAAAGCAGAGAGACTATGAAATCAGAATAGCAAGAGAATCCAAGGCAAATCCCAGGGGATTTTTCCAGGTATATAGAACAAAGGTCAAGGACAAAGTTGGGCCTTTAAAGTCAGGGAGGGGAGAAGTGATAAATGGCAGTGAAGAAATAAGGAAGGCATTGAGCAGCCACTTCTTATCAGTTTTCACAGAAGATATTCGCGAGGAAATTCCAGAGGTGGAACTGATATTTAGGGGAAAGGAAGAAGAGAAATTAAAGAATATCACAATCAGAAAAGAGGATGTTCTTAAGAAGATAAATAAACTAAAGAAGACAAAATCCCCAGGGCCGGATGAAATTTTCCCTCGAGTCTTGAAAGAGTGTAGGGAACTGATTAGCGGACCCCTCGTAAATTTATTTACAAAATCATTAGACACGGGAATTGTGCCAGACTTGTGGAAACGGGCAAATGCAGTACCCATATTAAAAAAGGGAGACAGAGCATTAGCGTCAAATTACCGGCCGATCAGTTTGACGTCAGTAGTGGGGAAATTTCTTGAATCAATTATAGCAGATAGCATCCGTTCGCATTTAGAGAAAAGCAAATTAATCTACGATTCTCAACATGGGTTTACAAAGGGAAATCTTGTCTAACAAATCTGCTGACTTTTTTAGGAAAGTCTTCGAGGTAGTAGATAATGACGAAAATTATGATGTTATTTACTCAGACTTTAGCAAAGCATTTGACAGAGTACCGCATCAGAGGCTTCTGAGAAAAGTTAAGGCTCATGGTATCGAGGGGAAAGTTTTAAATTGGATAAAATCCTGGCTCACCGATAGAATGCAGAGGGTCAGCGTAGATGGTGTTAAATCTGAGTGGGGCTGTGTAACCAGAGGAGTTCCCCAGGGGTCAGTACTAGGCACACTCTTGTTCATAATCTACATAAACGATCTAGATACTGGGATCAGCAGTGACATAAGCAAGTTTGCGGATGACACCAAAATAGGGCGGCAGATTAATTCAGAGCAGGATGCAAATGCACTACAGGAGGATCTAAATAAACTGCAGGGGTGGTCTGAAAAATGGCAAATGAAATTCAACACCAGCAAGTGCAGCGTACTTAATATTGGAAGAACAAATACTGTCAATGTATACAGCCTTAACAACATCAACCAAGAGAAGTTGACTTGTGAAAGAGACCTAGGGATACTTATAAGCCTGGACCTACGGCCTAGAAAACAGTGCGTTAATGTTCGAAATAAGGCAAACAGGGTATTGGGTTTTATATCTAGAAGTGTAAGTAATAAGAGTGCAGAGGTCTTATTGCAACTTTATCTTGCACTAGTCAGGCCGCACCTCGATTATGCGGTTCAGTTCTGGTGCCCTTATTATAGAATGGATATCAATTCACTAGAGTCGGTGCAGCGAAGAATGACGAAAATGATTCCGGGACTTAGAAACCTTCCATATCAGGATAGGTTAAAGAAACTAAAAATGCATTCCCTAGAAAGACAAAGAGTGCAGGGAGATATGATAGAAGTATTTAAATGGGCGAAAGGAATCAATAAAGGGGATATAGATAAAGTTCTTATAATATCCGAGCAGGATAGGACTCGGAGTAACGGATTTAAATTGGATAAGTTTAGGTTTAGGAGGGAGACAGGAAGAAACTGGTTCACAAATAGGGTGGTGGACGAGTGGAACAAGCTTAGCAACTTTGTAGTAAGTGCTGAAATGCTGGAAAGTTTCAAAAGGAAGCTGGATATATTCATGGATGATACAGTGGTAGTAACTCTCAACAGGAGCTGCCATGCACAGCAGACTCCTTATTTTCTTATGTTCTTATGTATGTGTGTTTACATCCGGGATGCGGCATCACCGCCGAGAAGATAAACTGGTGCAAGTCGAGGCACCTAATTATCTACCAAATGAATAACTTTCTGAAGAAATTATTATCATATCAGAACTAATTGATGAAAATCCAGTAAGAAAATAAACGTTAAAACAAATAACACATCAGCGAGTTAGTTACCAATATTAGCCAATGTAATATTACATCATATCATAATAAGGTCTTTCTGTTAGATATGTTTGGGGTCTGGAGGGTTAGGTTAAGTTAGGCTAGGTAGATTTCTTTGGTTAGGTTGGTGAGGTCTTCTTATCAACTCAGGTTAGGTTAAGTTAGGCTAGGTAGATTTCTTTGGTTAGGTTGGTGAGGTCTTCTTATCAACTCAGGTTAGGTTAAGTTAGGCTAGGTAGATTTCTTTGGTTAGGTTGGTGAGGTCTTCTTATCAACTCAGGTTAGGTTAAGTTAGGCTAGGTAGATTTCTTTGGTTAGGTTGGTGAGGTCTTCTTATCAACTCAGGTTACGTTAAATTTAATTTAAATACCCGGTAACCACTTTTACCACATTTAAACAAACTATGAAAGTGTCCACTATAAAACAGTGAAATTCCGGCGTTTTTTTAACATAAATTTATATGGAAAATAGGCGGCGGGTATCTCGTCAATAATTACTTAAATAAAGTCATCATTGTGTTATATCCAGAAGAAGAAGTTTATTACCCATCCTAATGTAAATATGACTCGTTGCAACATTAGAGCCATACATGAAGTCGTTCACAATTCCACCCTTTTCTGCCTGTCCCCCGTCTTGAGGGATGAGTAGAGTCGTTGCCATTATGGTATTTCTTGCTGAAAATCTGTGATATTTAACAGTAAAGAAGAAGTTTGCTGACACAGTTATGAAGGCCACCTCACGTCACTGATCCTGTCCGTATGTTTCAGTAAATATTTGAAGTGATATTAAGAGTAATTCAACTTTCTATAGTTTAATATATAGATATAGATATATATATATACTTGAATATATTTTTATAATAAATTTAAAATTATGCAGCTTAAAGTCAATTAATTGAAGGATATTTACCAGTCTGCTAAGTAGAAGTCAGAGTTTAAATCAGAACAACAATTATTACACGTCAACATGTGCAATCACAGAGTTACTGAGAAAGTTATTTAATATATTTGGGGTTAAATTGATAATGCTTAAAATATATTAGAATTTATATAGTTAAACCTTATTGTTTTATTCCTATTTTATCTCTTTTAAAATTAAGACAACAAGAGGATGACAGTCAGGGTCAAGGAAAGTATATAGGAGGAAGAGCGTCTCCCATACTCAGCGGTGCAGCCGCCGATTGACCCGCCATCTAGTGACCAAGCGCCCTAACAAAGAGAACGATTTTCTTTATCTTTTAAGAGTAAACTATGACATAAAATTAATATTTAGCGAAAACCGCGATATTATACACCCATAATCCATGACTCAAAATTTTCATTTAGATTTATTTCTTGTACATAAATTATTATTGTACACAAGAGCATAGATCCTGGAGGATGCCTCTGTAGTGGCTACTCTCCCCTACAACATCCTAGCGGTATCCCATAGCAACGGAGTTCTGCCAAAGCCTAGTCATCTATGTCCCATGAATCTTACCTTGAACATAGGCCGGTTGTTGTCAATCACAGATTTTAAAACTTATCACCTCTCAACGCAACAACTTTGAACAACTCCGCTGAAGTCCTCACTCAGGGCATCAAATGTGGTAAATTTCTGTACGCACATGTTTGATATTTAATTTGTTGATATAAAATTGGAAGCTTACCTCCTCCTCTACCCTATCCTACAAATTCACTTTTTTCTTTCTGTGAAATTCTTGAAGACTTCAGCCAGTTGATCGTTGCTACGTTGAGGTCCACTCAAAATATATAAGTAAAAACACAATATTTTCAGGAGTCGTGTTGGACATGTAATTGCTCTTGGTTTCTAGACAGCTCTGACTGCTCCATGCCACAGTCCTACGTCTCCACCCAAAAGCACAGGAAACAATTACCATTTGACAACATGCATAACTAATTTAATAGTTTATAGCTGATTTGTATAACTTAGTGTTACTTATTATTGTTAAAATACATTGATAATCTATTATTAATTCATTTATACAAACTAAGTTACCAAATTTAAAGTACTGTATATAATAAAGTTGATGAGAAATTGTAACTAGTCTCAACCTAGTGTTCCATCTTACATTCATCAGACTCACAATAGTAATAAACCAACACTACTATTCATAATTCTATACATGTGAATGAATCAAAGATTATACAATTATTGTGAGAAATCCATGATTTACCCGACAATAAGCCTATTTTGTGTTGAATTCACCCAGAAACCCACTACCCAAACATCAGTGTGCGTCAGGGTTCCGCCGAGCAAGCTGCTACGAGGTTTTATTAACAAATAATATTAATGCGTGGAATTATTCAAAATAATTTCCACATTCTATATCAGAAAAAAATTTAATAAACACCAGCTCAATATTGTTTTCATGCTTTATACTGTAGTGAGAATTATGATTATACTGTACCGCACCTGTATACAGTACAGCTCTCACTGGTTCTGGACCAGCTAGGATAAAGAAAATGTAAAAAAAACAACAACTGAAGACATGATAGGGTTTATTATTAAGTTACCTTTGCACATCAAATGTCACTCTCCACTACAAAGAAAAAAATATTGTTCATATAAAATATTTTCACTTAACAGAAAAAATATATTTGTATATGGCTTCCAATAATCTGGATTAGTAAGTAACTTGGTTGGTTAAGTATAAACTTTGAAGCACAATGTTAAAGATATAAACTATATCATTGATTACCTTGGGAACTTAAATGCGAATTGTTTCTAAGAAAATGAAAATGGTTTTATAAACATTAAATTTTAATAAAACAATGGGTTTATTTTATATTTGTATTAAACTTAGATATACTGTGCATGTGTAATGGTTGCCCCTCGTGTAACGAGGATGGCCGGCCCAAGAGCCACCTAGGCGCGAATTTGTTTAAGGTGTAGAAGCTGTCGCCAACACAACAACCACACCCTGAGTTAACGAGCTGCATGACCCAGTGCCAAGGAATAGTCCGAGAAGACCGGACAACTAGCTAACTGCACTGGGTAACCCTTACCCCGGAACACAATCCGCAAATGGAATAACATGCAGGTCCCCAATTACTGCTGGGTAGACAGAGGCAAATAGCGGAAAGAAACTTGCCCATAGTTTCACCCTGCTCGGGGGATCAAACCCGGGTCCGCTCGCTTGTGAGGTGAGCATGCTGACCATTACACCACGTATAGTACAGTACTCACAAACATCCATAAAAACATATACACTTATACACATGATGTATATACAGTACTGTACGTCTGCATTTAACCCTGAAGATTGCAGACTATCACAAATGTTACAAAAATTTGGCAACCCACTAGGTTAGTACTGTAGCTATAAAAAGTATATATTGGGCCTTGTTATAAAAAAAATTATCCCCTTTGCTGGCACAAGAAAAATGCACAGGAAGTCCTCAATATATAGAACCCATTTATATGGTATTTCACACTTACCTAAACTTTATTTTAGTTCCCAGGTTCATTACACAGCCAAAAATATTGCTGTTATGGAAATTCTTTTTGGAAAGGGTAATTATAAATAAAAAGAAAATCATCCAAACTTCATTCAAATTAAACTCTGCAACAGATAAACAAAGAAGCACCTTAAGTCAAACTCACCCTCAGTACCACCATTACTGTCATCACTGCATGTCGTGTACCCAAGAGTTTGTTTGCAAGAATAAAATTCAGTTAACCACACCTACCATGTCCGAAGCCTTTAAAGTGGTAATAAAACATTGAATTATTTACTCATATGAACTTGACCATAATTGATTATTCTTATTTCATAAAAAAAATAAATAAAATAAAATATTATTTGTAGGGTAGATCAAGGAGGGTAAATATGAATATACATTCCCATTATTGAGGTGTAGGAAGTGGGCAGGCAGTTACTATCATTCTAATACAGTATCCCACTTTAATGTAAAGTTATTGAAACAGATAACGGTTGTTGACTTTCCACATACATTAACTTATATATTAGCCAGCCAATATAAAAGCTTTTGAAATTTAGATACTGTATACTGTACTGTATCATGTATGAAAAAAAAAATCTTGAATGTGTGTATGTGACAACAATGGTACACATTCTGTTTATTGTAATATACTATACAGTACAGTACTACACTGTTGCTGTAAGGTAATTTACTGATATACAGATATTATAGCAAGTTATGAAACACAGTCTTGAGTCCATGCATACATACTATATTAGAAAATTACATATATATATATATATATATATATATATATATATATATATATTCAAGATGTCTTGAATAAAGACGAAAGCTATGGTACTCCGTTGTTTCCATTTTCCCATGTGATTTTATCAAGATTTATCTTATCCACGTTTTCATTGTGGATTTACATGAAATATATATATATATATATATATATATATATATATATGCAAACATAGTATCACAAAAGGCAACTGCACTCTGGCACAGGACAGCTCACACCAGTGGATGTGTGGGGGGGATGGGACACTCATTGTTCCCAGTACGTACTTCACTGTACAACTATTTATGCAGTATATTGCCTCCAGTGCTATATGATCTATAAAAATGTATTAAAATATTAAAGTTTCTGATTTAAATGTTTAAAAAGTAAAAAATTATGTATTTCGTGAAGTTCTGGGTTGAAAAATTTTTCTGTAAGAACACCTCTCCCATTACTTAATGGGAGAGGTGGAAATATAAGGTCCGTTATACGGAAGTTCGGTTTACGGCCAACTTTTTTAGGAACGTAGCCCTTCCGTATATCAAGGACTTCCTGAAGTAAAAACTACACTTAATAAAACCGGTTTAATGCATTTTTCTCTTATAAAACCAATTTGTTTAATAACAAATCAAAATAATATCATGGATACATTTTAATAATATTGGGTGCTTTACTCTTCAAATGTCCTCACATCTCTTGCACAACAGCAAGATCAATTATACAGTACAGTACTGTGTATAAAAATCTTACACATTTTAAGGATAACATTCTAAAGTTATTCATTACACAAAAAGTTGAATACTGTACTGATATAAATGATTGAGTAGCCAGCCTTCAATTTTCCTTCCCTCTGTCACAACAATATCTATTGTATGTTAATGTTAGTATTCATTGTTATCAGCCTTAAACCCTTCACCACAGGGATGCCACTTTTAATATTTAATGATTTATTCAGCTAAGAGGGGCGCCTGTACACAAGGGGTTAATTATCTGATATATTCTTCACCACTGATATTATCAACTGTTTGCCATTAAGTACGTACGGTATGGCACAAACCACATAAAAAGTAAAGGTCCCAAAAAGGCTCACAGTGAAAAAATTTAGACAAAAGAATGGAAGTACAGTACTGTAGGGGTCAGGGAGGAAGGGTGGGTGGAGCCTCGAGGAGACAGTGCAAGTGTCTAAGAAAGAGTGTACAATACATATAGTCAATGAAATCAGCAGTGAAAATATAACCTCTGTTCCACCTTTGGCGGCATACAATAGCCTCCTGCCTCAACACCCAACCTGCTCATGATAATTAATAAGTACAATACTTTACTACTAACATGTACTATGTGCTCCTTATTTCATCAACAGACATAGTGCAGTAATAATGTTTACCATAAGAAACACCCCTTGGCTCTGTACAATTCTTATATCACTCTTCTATGCCAGGCTGTAGCCAGGAGTGAAAACAGTTATGGCGAGAGAAAAGTGTTTAAACTTTTATCCATAGCTTCTATTTTAATTGGTTTAGAAAGATGAATTTAATACCACAATGATCCTGAATAATTCTCGACAAGATAGTCAAAAAAAAAAAAAAAAAAATCCATACACCAAAAATTATATATGATGTAATGATGTGACTAAATTCTTTTAGGAAAATTTTAAGGAAATGTTACCATTATTTTATCAAAATAATCCTAAATATTTTATTTAAAACTTTGGTTTAAAAAAAGAAAAGAAAAAAATCTGTGATACAGACCATCAAATGAAGGAAATTTTGAGGTGCTAAGCTGTTGCGTACAAAAATATTTACGGCGAGTGAAAAAGTGTACAGGTATCCCTCATTTACCATTGATTCACTAAACAATTTGGTTTAAAGATATAAAATTTTCAACACCCTTTCTCGTTTAATGTTACGTCAAAAATTCAGTTTAACCAAGTTTGGCTCACTATGATGGAGGAAAAAGCTGGCCAGTAAGATGGCATGTTGCCTTTAGTGCATGAAATGACACTATAAAAGTTGTGGAAAAATCACAATAATTTGGCTTAGAAATAACGAAAAAAAAAAAACTATAAAATTAGACAAATCAAGAGCATTGGTGTGTATGTGAGGGAAGAGAATGTATGTAATGAGTCAATGAGTTGTAACTGTGGCCAGCCGCACTCTCCATCCCAGCTATGTGACGTCACTGCATACACAACGCAGCAGACACGCGTCTTTTGAGTCAGCTGGATGACTACCTGGCTGTAAAGTGTCGCATGTATACCGTACCAGCAAATATAAGAAATAAATAAAAATAATATAATTAAGTAAAATCAAAGAAGAAATACTGCGTTGGCATTTGTCAATCGTTTCACTACACATGAGACACAAGACAGCCGAGATCTCACATGTGTGCTAACTCCCGCATGGGTATCCAGATGACTTTCTCAAACCTGGAAAAATCCCTTAGCCCCAGAATTTTTCAGGTTACTGGTAAAAGTTTCTGGGAGTCTAAACTACACATCTTGCACACACAGACACTAGCCCACATCCCCAGAATGTTTCTGGGTGCTGGGGAAAGTTTTCTGAGAGTCTAAACTTCCAAAGTCTGTAAAATATATTTGATAAACTAAAAATCTATATGATACTGGCGTGAATAAAGCTGTGTTACAGCAAAGACCGGTATTTTCCACTCCCATGGAGCTGTGGGGGATTAGTGGGTCTCATGTAACTGACCTGACCTGATGCAATGTCAGGTGGAGGTAAGATGGGGGATTAATGGTCTCATATTACTGACCTTCTGATTGAATGTCAGGTCACTCATTGTTGGGTGGGGGGTTAGTGGGTCTTATGACCTGAAGATGTCTTGAATAAAGAAAAGAGTTAAGGTATTTTTGAGGCACGAGGCAGTTAGCAAAAAATTGGTTAACCTTTTATCCACAACATCTGTTCAGAGAAATGAATTTGATACCATTGCATATATGGAGATGCATTTCTGGTGACATTTATTTCTGCTAAGCTTTCTGCCTTGCTGTAAACACTTGTTACAGTATGCAACGAACTTATTGCCTGTAATCCGATTTTGGAAAGTACAGTATAAAATTTAAGAGAGGCTTGGATAGTTTGAAAATTCCATATCAGGAGAAATTGAAGACTATTGGAAGAAATATTAAACAGACAAAGTGGACAGACTTCTTTAGACTTGTTGCTAATACAGATCCTCAACCTTGCACTAGCAGATCTAACCCCCAACCCTCTCCCAGTTTCATCAAAGGAAGAGCAAATTAAGAGGAAGAAGAAAGCAAAGTAGATGAACCATAGGAGGAGGAATAGAGGAAGCCGTTATAGGGGAACCCCGCAGTGTTCTCCCCCCCTCACTAACACCCAACACCCTCAGATATTCATGATAGGCCATTGTATACAGAACATCCCCACTATTACGGTAAGTCCAATAAAATTCATGCAATGCATACCATAAAATCCAATAGCACACAATTCATGTGCAAAAATAGCTTTCCACACTTAAACCATCCACTGGGCAATGCGACACAGATCAGCTGGGCAGTCACCAGCTGACTCCAAACGTGTGTGTCAGTATGCTGTGATATCACATCTGGGGGAGGAACCTGGCGAGTGGTGACTACCAACAGTCAAGTCAAGATGCAGTTACAGCTCAGTGCTCACTGTCTCCACACATGTTCACTTCCCACACTGAAATAGGGTGGTCCATGTCTATAGGGTGAAAATTCAGTTACAAAAATCATGCTCCACATGGCTGCCCTCATTCCATTAAACACAGGTAACATAAATGCCAAATTTGGACTTAATTAGATAATATTTAGAGGTTGCTTAAAATGTTTGAGGTTTACGCCCTGAGTTGAATTCCCACCATTGAGCCATTGTCATGTGATTTGCACTGCCTTGCGTGTCAGTGCCTCTATTTTTGCGCTAGATGCCGATAATCATATTTCATCATTCTCATGCTTTGATTTTGTTGCTTTCAGATGACAACCTCAATGAAAAAAACACGGTCATATGTTGATGTGTGGATTCTTGGGAAGCCATCTTCTGAACTGTCTCATCAAGTCAGGCTCCCAACAAATGGTAACATTCTACGGTATGTTGTGTTCCACCACATGGAACAAAATGAACTTCTGAACCGAAGCTTCAGACTGGCTGCTGATGGTGTCTTGGAGATGTGGACTAAGGCTCGAATTCCCACTCAAAGTGTGGACTCAGTCATCAGGAAGATAAAGAAGCTCCATGAGCAATATGTCAACCTCAAGAAAACAGGCTTTCTGCACAAGAAAATGACAGAATCAAGGAGTCTCTGTTCAAAGACTCACTGAAGGTATTGTTCGATACTGCTTCTCAAAATGCTTTAAAAGAGATGAAGGAAGAGGAGGATAAAGTTTTCCATCAGATACAGCGAGAAGATGTCCTTTCACGCAGCATGGGTGGCGTGGATACGGAAACAGCAACTCGAGAATTACAGAAGAGGCAGCGCCAAGAGAGGGAGATGGAGTGGACCCAGAAAAGCAAAAACAGCTTATTGGGTGCAACAGCAGTGCCTACAGATATAAGCATCAGCACATCCACAGATGACTCACAGGAAGAAAGACCAGGATTACAGGCCGTCTCAAACTGTTTATACTCCCCATCAACATCAGCTCCACTCCCTAAGAAAATGAAGAACATCATAGCCACACCTAAGGTTGCAGCAGCTCTTGCCCGTGTAAACCTGCCTGACAAAAGAGCTAAGATGAAGTGATTAATTATAGTTCTGATTTTACACACTTACATAATTTTGTTTTCTATACAGTAATATTACAGTAGCTTTCAGTTATAATGTTTCCAGTTGTGGATTATAAGTAATACACCATTTGTTTTGTTTTATTACTACAGTGGTCCCTCGGTTAACGAATTACCTTCCATAAGAATCTTCAATTTTGTTAACGAACAAAAAATTTGATTAACGAAATCCTTACGAACATCACGTTTTGTTGTGAGCATCAGCTGATCAGCTGATGGGTTAGTCTGCCAATTCAGTAATCTGTTCTATGTTTACATTCGTTTCCAGTGGAGTAAATACAGGTTGACAACCCTTTATCCAAAATTCCGAAAACCGAAAAGCTCTGAAAACCAAGTTTTTTTTTTTTAACAGGGATTAGCCACCCAGGCATAGATCACTGACCCACATCGGGGCCTGGGCGCAAAAATGTAATAGTAATAATAATAATAATTATTCATAAATAAAAATTTTAATAAAAATACACCTAAATAAAATAATACTGATATCAATAATAATACTACTAATAATAAAATATAATAATAAAATTAATGATAATAATAATAATAATAATAATAATAATAATAATAATAATAATAAAGAAATACAAGAATGAAAAAAAAAGATGAAAAGTGAGAAACACGACCTACAGTAGACCTATGAATTATTATTATTACAGTATTATTATTATTATTATTATTATTATTATTATTATTATAATATCCCCCCCCCCCCCAATGTGGGTCAGTGATCTATGCCTGGGTGGGCTAAAAAAACTAACCATTCAGAAAACCAAAAAATTCCGAAATCCGAAATGCCTCTGGCCTCAAGGGTTTCGGATAAGGGATTGTCAACCTGTATCACTAAAGTTGTGCTCTTCAAAATTTTTTACATTTTTTATATTAAAATTATTAGTCATACACACGACAACAAATACATAGAGAGACAATAAACCTTTGCTTCTACTTCCCTTTTCACTGTAATTAATGCAGTAGGAGTGAACAGATTAACTTTAAGACTAGTCCTGGCTAGTAAAGCAGAGTACTGTATGGTCTCCTAGGTCAAGACTGATGGCTTAGTGGGTGTATGAGAACAGCATTTGGGAGGTGAAGGTGGTGTTTACTTTTGATTCTGAAAATGATTAAAACAGACGTATAACCGTACTAGGGACAGCTATACATACTGAAAAGATAGAAAAGAGTTACTGCATTCCATTACATTATGAAGAGCTTATTTACCACTCAGTAAGAAAAGTATAGCAGTTGTGTATCAAAATTAGAGTTTAGGGTTAGGTATAATGGCTAACTAATTAACTGTGTAAAGTATAAAAGTACAGTAAAGATCTGGCACCGGTACACCAACAACTTGTGCTGTTACCAGGCCTCACCACAGCTCTGCTACTCACCACATAACACAGCATTTTCACTTTGTGAGTACAGGCACTAGAATTTGTGTTTTTACATTAGACATCTTTGTACAAGTTATGACTACCATAACTTCTCCCCAGCTAATTTATTTTTCTAACTTCTGCAGAAAAGGGTCAGCCCGATACAGCCCACATAATCAAGGTTTAATTGTATTCAGAAGTAAATCATCTAGCAATTAATGGATACAAATACTGTACATTGAATTTTGGTCTTCTCTATAAAAGATTTTACAAAACAATTTAATTCCATTCTTCACTTCTTTTGAGTTCCAGCTCATTGAACACTACAGTACAGTAACTAACCAATGGGCTCAGTTTCCCGAACAAGCCAATCATAGGCATCCTTGTGTCCTTCCTGAAGTAAGAGCTTTCCCACTTTTTCCCGACATTCAGCGTGATAATCATTAAGCCAACTGATCTGTAAAGAATAAGTTGTATTACTCATCAAACACCAAAAATATTTATCATAAATACAGGCATCCCTACCATTAGTATCCCTGAAAACTCGCATCTTAAATCAAGTCACAACTTGAAAAGCATTTACACATGAGAATACAGTACTACATCTAATGGTGTACTGAGGCCATTAGTACATAACTGTATTATGTACCATTTATTATAATTTATATGGCACTCAAAAAAAAAAAAAATCTTATATTTCTTTCTTAAGTAATCTGTAAAATGTAAGTTTTCTCTTGTATGACCCTACACAAAGAAATGACTTGTACTGTAGTATGTATTCTATGAATTACAAACTGAGTTTTTATGTGTAGCATTAAGATATGTATACCACGTTAACCAAGACCTTCAAGATCATTTGAGTAATATGTTGAAGGCCCAACTGTACATTGCTTTAATAAAAATTGTGATATGGTCCAATGGTCCAAGCTGTTATGAGCTCCCTGAGAAGTATTATATGTTTTGTCTATTGTGAAGTTGTTAGTCTGTAAGTAGAGTTACATTTTACTTGACCTAGAGAAATCAGGGAATCTCCTAGAAGGATTGAAGTGTGAAATCTTGAAATTAACCAATTGTAATTAATAATTTAATATGAAACGTGCTCATGAATGCTCATCATTGTTCGTCTGACAGCAATCGTTGAATGTGCGATTTCCAACTTTGTGTAAACCAAATTATTACATTAGATCTAAAATTTGTATGTCTAATGCAAAATCCATGATGTTTATATTCAAAATGATCATCATATTGTAAGAATTCCAGCAATGTAAATTATATTCTGGCGGCAATTTGTGCGAATTTATGAGCTAAATAAAAAAAAAAATTATACTTCATGATATGAGTAGATGCATGAAAATGAAAGTCTGGTTCTGGCAGGCACCCGTAAATGAGAAATGGAGGAAAGAAAACAGTGTAAAGTGGGTAATACTGTGTGTGTGTGTGTGTGTGTGTGTGTGTGTGTGTGTGTGTGTGTGTGTGTGTGTGTGTGTGTGTGTGTGTGTGTGTGTGTGTGTGTGTGTGTGTGTGTGTGTGTGTGTGTGTGTGTGTGTGTGTGTGTGTGTGTGTGTGTGTGTGTGTGTGTGTGTGTGTGTGTGTGTGTGTGTGTGTGTGTGTGTGTGTGTGTGTGTGTGTGTGTGTGTGTGTGTGTGTGTGTGTGTGTGTGTGTGTGTGTGTGTGTGTGTGTGTGTGTGTGTGTGTGTGTGTGTGTGTGTGTGTGTGTGTGTGTGTGTGTGTGTGTGTGTGTGTGTGTGTGTGTGTGTGTGTGTGTGTGTGTGTGTGTGTGTGTGTGTGTGTGTGTGTGTGTGTGTGTGTGTGTGTGTGTGTGTGTGTGTGTGTGTGTGTGTGTGTGTGTGTGTGTGTGTGTGTGTGTGTGTGTGTGTGTGTGTGTGTGTGTGTGTGTGTGTGTGTGTGTGTGTGTGTGTGTGTGTGTGTGTGTGTGTGTGTGTGTGTGTGTGTGTGTGTGTGTGTGTGTGTGTGTGTGTGTGTGTGTGTGTGTGTGTGTGTGTGTGTGTGTGTGTGTGTGTGTGTGTGTGTGTGTGTGTGTGTGTGTGTGTGTGTGTGTGTGTGTGTGTGTGTGTGTGTGTGTGTGTGTGTGTGTGTGTGTGTGTGTGTGTGTGTGTGTGTGTGTGTGTGTGTGTGTGTGTGTGTGTGTGTGTGTGTGTGTGTGTGTGTGTGTGTGTGTGTGTGTGTGTGTGTGTGTGTGTGTGTGTGTGTGTGTGTGTGTGTGTGTGTGTGTGTGTGTGTGTGTGTGTGTGTGTGTGTGTGTGTGTGTGTGTGTGTGTGTGTGTGTGTGTGTGTGTGTGTGTGTGTGTGTGTGTGTGTGTGTGTGTGTGTGTGTGTGTGTGTGTGTGTGTGTGTGTGTGTGTGTGTGTGTGTGTGTGTGTGTGTGTGTGTGTGTGTGTGTGTGTGTGTGTGTGTGTGTGTGTGTGTGTGTGTGTGTGTGTGTGTGTGTGTGTGTGTGTGTGTGTGTGTGTGTGTGTGTGTGTGTGTGTGTGTGTGTGTGTGTGTGTGTGTGTGTGTGTGTGTGTGTGTGTGTGTGTGTGTGTGTGTGTGTGTGTGTGTGTGTGTGTGTGTGTGTGTGTGTGTGTGTGTGTGTGTGTGTGTGTGTGTGTGTGTGTGTGTGTGTGTGTGTGTGTGTGTGTGTGTGTGTGTGTGTGTGTGTGTGTGTGTGTGTGTGTGTGTGTGTGTGTGTGTGTGTGTGTGTGTGTGTGTGTGTGTGTGTGTGTGTGTGTGTGTGTGTGTGTGTGTGTGTGTGTGTGTGTGTGTGTGTGTGTGTTATATATATATATATATATATATATATATATATATATATATATATATATCTATCTATCTATCTGGTGCTTAAGACGACCCCCTAACTTTGGGCTGATTTTTTAATGGTTCAAATTCCGTCTTATAGGCCGAGATATACAATCATCAAATTTTTTTTCGTTAACCGAATTGAAGATTCATATGGAAGGTAATTCGTTAACCGAGGCGTTCGTTAACCGAGGGACCACTGTATATCAAGGGTGGATGGGAGTTTTTGGAGGGTGGCTGATCCCTAACCTCCCAAATTTATTATATTCTTACTGGACTAATTGCTTCAATAACCATTAATTCACTAAACAACGACTTTTGGCGGTCATAGAGGTAATATATTCTACAAACTTGAGTAACATTGGCTATCTTACCTCTTTCTGTGTCATCAGTGATGGATCAATGAGCTTGGTCTGGATGGGTACTAGAGTAACAGTCTTGAAGGTGAGGAAGCCTCGGTCCCGGTGGTTGTATCGAGTCTCTGCCTTCTCAATCCTTACAATATTTTCAATGCGGATACCAAACTTCCCGTCATCGTAATATCCAGGTTCTAAAGAGAGTTTTTCACGTTAAAGAGGTCTATCTTATGGAATATTTCTAAAAATAAATTATATAATTTCCCAGTTATGCACAGAATAACTGCATGAACAATACAACCTTTATTCTTGACTTACCATCTGAAAGGAACATGCCTTCTTGAAGGCCTGGATCATCAGGATAAGAGCGCCATGACACTCCCATTGGGCCCTCATGAACATTGAGGTACATTCCTATTCCATGACCAGTGCCATGGCCATAGTCTAGGCCGATATCCCAAAGTGATTTTCGAGCAAGTGTGTCCAAGCAGTTTCCCTGTTCAAAATTATGTAAAAGATCAATGTACTGTATCCTAAAATACATTGGCTTAATTATGGTAAAAAATATAGTACCTTACACTGAAGATACCAGATGTCAACTCAATATAAATGCTTTATATACTGTACTTCTATGGTGCTTGAAGCAGAAGAGGGAGGATTCGATGAGGAATGGGGACAGATGTGCATGGGTTATATACAAGAAGGTAATGGGAGCACGAGTGCCAGCACAGAACCAAGGGATAGCGGGACACCCCCACCCGCTCTACCTCCCTCCCAGGAGGAGGTGAGTGCCATGTAAACAATGTCATCTCTGACCACACCCCACAAAATACATTGTATTTAGCAAACGCTGCAGCTGCTGAGAATGGAGGGGGGCCGGAGTCACTACCAAGAACAGAGACGTTACCTAGAACAAATTGAGGCTTCTGCAGGAACTCCAAGGGACTTGAGTCAGTGGAGGAGGTGGAGACAAAAACTGTAGGATTTGACAATTATACTGACGTGCATCTTCCAATTTAGCTTGTTATCTATAGTGACACTGAGGAGCTTGGTGAAGTCTACAACCTGGAGTGTGTTAGGGCCCAAAGTAATGGAGGGAGGTGGGACAAGGTCAGAGGAGAGGTTGATGTGCATAACCATGGACTTGGTATGGTTGATGGCCCAATTTTGATGATTGTTCGATATATTCTTGAGGGCAGTGTTGTCGGGAGTCGAGTTGTTGACACTGATCCCAATGGTGGAGTCATTGACAAATTTCCAGCGAGCAGAGGCTTCTCTTAGGGCATCATTGATAAGCATAAGGAAGCAGAGCGATCCCATCTTGGTGCCTTGGGGGACGCCACAGGCAAGTGACTGAAAAGTGGAGACAGCCCCTCGGAAGCATACGGCTTGGCGTCTGTCACTAAGGCAGTCAGTCTGTAAGCCATGGTATAAGACTTCTTCGAAATCTGAGGTCGATAGCTTTGTTGATGAATAAATTGTGGTCGACTAGGTCAAATGCTTTGGTGAAGTCAATGAAAGCGACAGCCATAGACGTCTTTCATTTTTCCAGATGGCGGTATATGTTGTTGAGAAAGCTGACAAGACAGTGAGTGGTGAAGTTTTCATATTGCCAAATTGATGAGGATCTATGACCCCTGCAATAGCAGCATAAGCCCAGTCAAAAACGACTTTCACAGATTAAGTTGGGTTATTGGGGTGATGGCAATGGGTTGTAGCTCATTTAAGGATTGTGGGCTGGTTGACTTGGGCACTGGTGACACATATGAGGTCTTCCAGTCAGCTAGTCATCTTGCTTGGCTGAGGGAAGCATTGATGATGGGGCAGAGGGGTTTGTTAGTTCTGGGGAAAACTCCTTGTAGAGTTTCATTGGTAAGTCAATGGGGGTGGTGGAGCGCTTTAACTTCAGTTTGTCGAGACGTTTTGCTACTTCAAATTCTTCCACTAAGTCAGTGGGAGAGGGGGCTGGTAGGTAAGTAGAGACTGGTTGTGTCAAGCCGGGGGAGCTTCTGGCATATAGTTGCGAAATGGTTGATTGATTGGTCAGCTGCGTCACCATTAATGAGATGGTTAAGGAAGGGGAGGGAGTGTGTCTTATTGTTTAGTCCACAGAGTTCTTTAAGCTTACCATACCATTGACTGATGTTGGTCTGCTTCAGGTGTTGCAGCTTGGTTGGGTAGTGAGACTTCTTTGCCACGTGTATTTCGCGGATGACTTGGTTGCGAAGGGACCAGTAAAGGTTGTGGTCATTGAGATAAAAGGCGCTGTCTCCCTGCTGCATAAGACTTTTGGTCCGAGGTGTGATCCAGGGCAAGTCAGCTGGGTGTGATCTGACGGACTTCTCGGGGAAGAAGTGGTAGTGAGCTTCAGTGGTGGTGTTTGTATAATTTATCCATTTGGTGTCCACTTCATCTACACGAAGTACTTCAGTCCAGGGATGGTGAACTATCCATTGCCCGAAGAGGCGCACTGCAGAGTCAGTAATCAGCCTGTGGGTCTTGATGTAGGGTCTCTGCACTTGGCTGGTAGTGGGAGCTGGAGACCAGAACACTGATAGATGCGTGCTACACCCGATTGGAGGCATTGGTTGAGGTGGTTGGTACTGGTCCAATAAATCAGTTAAGGTAAGGTCAAGGGTGTTTTGACCATGTGTAGGGAAGTTCACAGCTTGTGATTGTAGCAGCTGGTCCTGGATATCAGTGGTGCCAATTTCATTATAACCCCCTCATAGTACTAGCTTGGCACATGGGTACCTAACTCTAAGGTGGTCCAAGGTGATTGATAAGAGTGTCTCTGGTGGGTGAGTGAGGCAGATGGTATGCCACACAGTATATGATAAAAGAAGTGTGGTGAGGGTGGGCACGTGGCTCAACCTGCACCCATAATGCCTCCACATCAGCTGGGACTGAAACATCCAGGCATGATGGACGTAGTTTGCCCCCTCCACTTCCAAGTAAACAAAGGTGATGAAAGAGCTGCTATCCCTTAATGTGGCAAGTTTCGGGAACAATCTGCCATGCCTCGCAGATGGCAACGACATAGGCAGCAACTGACCAGACTGTGGTTGCCAGCTCGTCAAATTTGTTGGCTAGGGAAGTGACATTGGAGAGGAGTAAGGAGAGGAAATTGAACCATATTCGTGGAGCTTCAGTGTATTGGTACGGTCTGTTAGTAGTAGGTTTCTCTGGTTTTCTAGAGGAGGTGATGGTCCTGACTGGCTTCTGTTTATGACGTCCTTGTCCACGACTACGAGCAAGGAATATGTTAAGTGGTTTTAGTAGCACAATAACACTGCATCAGGATATCCATACCCTCACTTTAAACAGTACAGGGTGTGCCTGGAGTACGTCACTGGTGGACATCCGTTGATATTTGTCTAGCCGTAAACACCGCGGTAGTCCTCGTCTCTGGCACTTTGAAGGTAACTGACAGTGTCCAAGGTCTGGTAATACTGTTCCCTGGTGATTTGCTGTAAGGCACGCTTGTTTTTGTGTTTTCCTTGGAATACATTTTTGTATCACTGTTTGGTAACCAATCATTGCACCGAGCATTTACAGGACACATCTCCTCTCTGTGTGTGTGTGTGTGTGTGTGTGTGTGTGTGTGTGTGTAGACAGAGGCAGTCATGGAGATATTCAGTTATAATCAAAATTTCTAAGCCCACTTGGCCAGCATGTACAAGTCATTTATACTGGATATTAAAATAATGGTCAAATTAAACTGAACGTGTATAAGAGAAACCAAGTCAATAGAGGGTTTAATGTATTTGCATTCTTGGACTCTACATCTGTGCAGAGAGCAGAAGGCATGAGAAAAAGAATTATCTTTCCATAAACTACAAACTTACTAGAAAATTCATCCTCAATAATCATGCAGCTAGAAGTATCTACATCCTGCCAAATTTCTGGAACAATTGTCATGATCAAGTCTTCCTGGTCACACAGAAAAGCCATAATGCTGTGTAGATTTATTGTTGTGATTATATCCCCCAGGCACTTTCATGGTGGGGTGTAATGATGATAAGTTCTTGTAAAGCTAATCTAATATACCTTGATCTTTGTGGGGAAGATGCAAGTTGCCATGCTTATCACTCCCTTCAGAACTCTAGTGTAGCATTCCTGCATGAACTTGGAAGGGGTCCCAAAATATAGCGTACGAGTGACATCTGTTGTCCCATCCCTGGAATATAAATCAACATTTTACTTAATTAGAACTGGGTTTCAATTATTAAAAAAATCAACATTTTCCATGTATCTACACTAGGTTTATAGTCACACATAATCCGACCAAAATGAGGAAATGAAGTGACCAACTGGTGAGAAGTAACTACTGTAAGTAAAACTAACTGAAAAATTATTGAAAAGTTTAACAATAGTGGAGATTATTTCTTCACTTGCATAACAACATCAATTAATAACTAAATAAGTCCTGTTTAAGTTTAGTAACAAAGGATTCATCTCATTTGCATTGTGAAAATGGGACGAGGCAAGGATGTAAACAAATACCTGTACTAGTTAAAGGACAATTGAAGTCAGGCTCAAATTTACTTACTTGTACTGTCCACCAGAGTCACAGAGATAGATATCATCAGTAGTAACAATGCGGTCAGTTTCAGGAGAAGGAGAGTAGTGAATTATGGAGGCATTTGGTCCTACTGAAGATATTGTTGAGAAGCTCAATCCAACAAAGTCTTCCAGTTCCCTGAGGAAGAAATGGAAAATTGAAGTATATCCCATTTTATGGACAAGGGGAAGAAATACACTAAGAGTGAGAACCATAACAGCAATACAACTTTTAGTAGAGTCTGCTTTTGCCTTAAAATTCTGAAATGTTTAGTGGGAGGATAAATCATGCAGCCATATAACAATTTTATTGCAAGCAGTTCCTCAACCAATCAAATCTGGGTCCAAAAAAGGAACTGTAAGAAAGCATTTCTAGCCTTAGAACTCTATAAAATCTACCAGAGAAGTACAGGAAACTCACTTCAATCATACTGTAATCTTAAACTGCCACAGATTACTGTATGTTGATATGCTGGAATTGAACTCTCTAGTAAATGAGTACATAAGGAGATCCATCCGAGATCCCTCATCCACGAATTGCATGCTCTTTCAATAAACCGTTAATTATTATAATTATAATTTTTATAAGATGTCTCGAATAAAGACGAATGGTAAGGTGCTCCAGTGTTTTCCACTTACTGAAGGTACAGTACAGTATATGTAACTGTAATCACTTTTTACATTCTTACAGTGCTTTAACACTGTACTATTGGCTCATTTTGTTCTGGTAGAGTAATGTACAACACTCCACAACATAAACTGTACACAAAAAAAGCAGCTAGCGAGGGAACAACCTTCTATGATGGCAATAGAATATAAACTAAGCAACCTAAGCAACTAGACCACAGAAGGCACCTGATGGGTTGGAGCATGATGCAATCTCTTGGATCTCCCTGAAAATTTATTCTCAGACCCAGAAATATATATATATTTTTTTAAGATTTTCCAGAAATTTTCTTGGAATTTTCAGAAAATGTACCTAATTTTCAACCCTGGAATTTGTTCGCAAACCCAGATTTGAGAATATTTCCGTAAAAAATCCGAGCAAATTTCAATTCCGTCTACTGGAGCGTTCTAAGAGGGATTCTAACGGAGATATTACTTGTATACAGTATATGTGTTGTTTATAAAAAAAAGCGCTCCACTTTTCTGGGGGGGGAGGGGGTATACCATATTCTTAGGCAATATCAACTAGACTTAACTGATTACACCTTTCTTTGTGTACATCCATTAACATTAAATGATTGGGTTGTTTCTGACCTACTGTGTGGTGTCACTAATTAGTGTAAACAGTTTTAAAGTCATTTTATATAGCATACACTTAAAGCGGGGACATCTCACCTTCTTTGTTACATAAAGCAGTACCGTCTAAGTAATTATTGCACATTATCAATAATGACCGCACACAATGATATCAACAATTTCAAAGCAATTATATGTGGAAGAACAATAGCACTATCCCCTTGAGGCTTGCCAATAAAAAACTGGGGTGAAAACCTCAAAGTTTTGCTGTCCGTGCTTCACCTTTTCACTTTTTAGTCAATAAAATCATACATAAACAATGATGTCATTATTATCAGCCAATCAGGAATCTAGAAGCACATTTTATCCAGACAAAAAGTCGGCAACTTCCCAGGGTACAAATACAGACTCCACGAGTGAGAGAATAGAATTGATCCCGGTCACACACGGATCCCAGATAGCTTTTTAAAGTCTCGGCACAACAGTGTTGTCAATATATCACAACCTATTTACCTGTGTACATTACAGGTTCTGATACCCTGTACATTGACAACACCGACGTGCTGTCCCGGGACTATGAATAAAAGCTAAATGGGATCCATGTGGTGCATGGAGGACCTTTAGCTACAAGTGAGTTGTTAAAAGTGGGGCAGCTTTTAGCCCATCGTGGTCCAGTGGACTGCTGCCTGACTACTAACAATGGTGGCCTGGGTTCAAAACCTGGCACCCAGAGATGAAAACTGTTTACATCTTCAACGTATATAAAAGAAAATACATTAAGAGGAAGTTACCCAACAGTCATGTATTAAGGACATTAAAAAGTGGAAAAAAAAATCACTCACTCTCTGTACTTCTGCAGTTGATCAGCACCTGAGATTTCAGTCTGAGTACCTTTGATGGCCTCCTTCTCAAGCCAAGAAAAGTAGCGACACAGAGCTGATGCATCTCGGATGTGGCATTCCTCCATTCCTTAAATAAATAAACAAACAATACAGTACAGGTAGTATCAGGTGCTGTAATTATAATAAAAGATGAATGATGAAATATAAGTGGTTCAGTCGCGGACCACTATAGTGACAGGTACAAACTAAAGTAAAGTACAGTACTACATTCTGTTGAGAAGATAGATAATGTACAATTTGTTCCTGAGCTAATAGTAAGACCCCTTTAAGTCGGACTAATATATGGAGTTCAAGGCTGTCCGACTTATCTAGAATTCTCACTTAAGCATAACCTCCTACACTGGGTGCTTTCAACCATCATTTTGCTGAAAAAACTCTTCCAAAAAACAAAATTAAAGTTAACAGCACTGTATACATTTACACTGCACTTCCTTTTATAATAACAGATCAATTTTGAGGTGGAGGACAGTATATGTACAGTAGCTAAAACTATCTGTGCATACTTAGTGGGAAACAATATACCATGGACGATAACTATTGGTATATGAAGGCTGTCACTAGTCACACGTAAATTATCTGGGCATATCGGCCTCCACCTGCACAGGCAGTTGTTTTAGCTACTCTAAAAGTACTCACACTTATATTTATTATGCACTTTAATCGAGCTGATGTCATAAAAAGTACTGTACCCCACCTCAGACCATACTCCAAACAGATAATGTTTTAGGATATCCCATCACCAATTATGGTGGTGAGTGTTGTTGGTGGTGGTGAGTGTTGTTGGTGGTGGTGGTGAGTGTTGTTGGTGGTGGTGAGTGTTGTTGGTGGTGGTGAGTGTTGTTGGTGGTGGTGAGTGTTGTTGGTGGTGGTGAGTGTTGTTGGTGGTGGTGAGTGTTGTTGGTGGTGGTGGTGAGTGTTGTTGTTGTTGTTGGTGGTGAGTGTTATTGTTGGTGGTGAGTGTTATTGTTGTTGGTGGTGGTGAGTGGTGATGGTAAGTGTTGTCAATGGTGGTGATGTGTGGTATTGGTGATGAGTGTTGTTGGTGGTGGTGAGTGTTGCCACACCCATCCTCCAGGCCTTATACAATCTTTTGTCCACTTCATCATTCCATCACCAAGTCACTGTATGTCTGTCTGGGCTCTTCATCCAGCAACACTTATTGTCAGCCATACTTAAAAGGGTGTTCTTTAACCTGGCCCATCACCTTGTTAGTTCCTACATTACCCATCAAACTGTTGCTGGCTGTTCTATTTTTCACAGCTCAGCATATAATGTTTCTCTTACGTTCTGTTCCTTTAATTTCCCCACTCTCCTTTTTGGATCATATACCTTCTTCCTTTTCCTGCACCTTTTATCCCCAGGGCTTCAGGTTATGGTCCCACCCCCGAGTGGGTATATTTGGTAACATTTAAAAACTAAATAAATAAATAAAAAGCAGTTCTAGTCTCACAAACTGGCAATGCATGATATAAATAGGAAATACATAAATGTCCTTACCACAGGTTGGCCACAGTGACTAGGAAGAGTCAACAATGTTTGTGAAGTGGCATGTGTGTGGCATAGTAGTAATGAGGTAAACAACATTAACTTGTAGGCAGTATGAGGCACAGGGCACTTGTTTTATTATGTTAACAGACATTATTACTGCTCCAGTAATTGATCATAATACTAGACTTATGCTTGGGGGGTGTGGGGGGGTAGAAACACATGGTGAAGTGAATCAGGTCCAAGGGTGAGATGCCTACATCACAAAAGCTGACAAGAAACTGGGAGGCTCTAATGTGTGAGTGAATGAAGGAGAAATACCTACTTGGCAATATAATCTACCCAGACTCACCCTTTTTATTCAAATAGGCCTGGGAAAATCAAAATGTCATGTGACGTGACCCGAAGCCTAGGGGTTAAGCAGAATGTCACACACACAAGCAATTTGTGTTTCAAGGAACATTCTTCCCTGCTATTAACCTTACATCTTTAACAAACTTTGTTTGATTTCCATAAAAGTACAAGAAGTATGATGTCAACCTGGGTTTTTATGCTGCTTGACTCATACATCCTCAGCCTATTTTCCCTCTTCTTAACACTGTTGGGTTTAGGGAGGTGCTCTCCGGCGAGACACTCGGGGTCTGGCTGGATACTTACCTCACTGCACCACACGACAGCTAATTGTACGTAACAAGTCTAGAAAGTTTGCTATTTGAGATAAAAAGGTGGTATTTGTTGTATTAGCATTGTAAATAAATTTTCTAAAAACATTTTTATTAGAGTAATCACGATAAAATAAATATTTCTAAACATAGGCGCAAGAAACAAAATTAATTTATTGTAACTTTTGAGTTCATACACAGATTTGTGTATAAAAACCCCAATTGTGTTAAACAGTACTGTACTTATATGATACAGTACTGTATTACAATTATTATTATAATAATAACAATAATACCTTTAATCTCCGTAGAGTTTTTGATGGCTTTCCTTACAGCCACTGGTGAAAGTTTGGACAACCTTTTCTCTTCTGGGATCATTTGAGTTACTGCATGAGAGGCATGGTTGGAAACCCAAATTTTTCCTGACTGCAGAGGCACCTGAAAATCAACATAACATACAGGTAATAAGTATCCTCAAACATTCCTGTTTTCCTCTCAACCAAATTTTACATGCCGAGCCTGTTGTCAGGTTAAAATGGATGGAGTATAGCGATTTCTTAACTTTGTTGACACGGGGAACTGATACAACACCTGTACAGGGTATAATATATAAGCTAAGGTAATCTACACATTGGGTGCTTTTTTTACTCAATATAGGGCTGTAGGCTTATATTGACTTGGCAGAATATAAACTGCATTTCTGGAATCCTTGTAAGATAGCGACTAATTTGAGTAGAAACATCTCATAGTTTGCACAAGAGATAAAAATTTTAGTCCTTTAGCGTATTACATTTGAGTACAAAGTGAGTACAGACAGAGTAATATGTTGCTCAAAATTATGGCTTTTTCACAGGAAAAGTCTGCATAACTAACCCCAGTGGTCAGGATATTATGTACTATATTTTTGGTGTTTTTTAAATAATTATTTATCGTTTTTATACATTTAGTACATTCACGGGAAGATTCGGACACTCGGCTTTTTCGGGCAGGTGGACCCCCTTTTAGTCCGGATCTTCGAGGGTTCACTGCATCACATAATTTCTACCTCAACCTGGTAGAGAGACAGAGTGCTGGGGGATGTGGCCGCCCCAGCTTACTCCCAGGGGTGCGCGATTCGAATTTTTGCTGGGACACAAATTCGTTAAATGGAGGAACCTTTCATAACACAAAAGAGAGGTGGTAATTTAAGACATAATTATAAGCAAGTTCTCGTATCTCCAGGGATAACTATAATATATTGTCACTAGATATGGTAAACCAAAAGTTTGATGACACTCCATGAAGTGTTAACAGAGTCAAATTTAATATTTTGTATAATTATTTAATTGTAAATTATACTGTAATTGTAAGTACTATACATATATACAGAAAGTATTAACCTCTACTACTACATTATGCTTACGTACCTGTTCATCAATAAACTTAGGAAGATCCTCATATGGCTTAATAATTACTTTGACTTCTTTTTCTTGCAGAGATTCCCTTGCAGCTGAAGTTAGCTGACCTTTATTGATGAATAAAAAAGCTTCATTCTGAGTCAGTGCAGCATATGAAAAAAACACTGGATTGTATTCAATGTCTGATCCCCTCAGGTTATACAAATCTGTAAACAGAAAAGATAAAAATATTGATTAATTAAAATAATGTATCTAGAAGGAGGAAAGTTTTTGTAGTTCTCATGATGAAAAATGCAATCAAATTAATGATATCAGAGTCATGATGAGAAGACACCATGAAATAAGAATGAGAGCATTATTGTAGGACTGAAGCATGATACACCATTTGGGGATGAAATGAGACCTGAGAGATATACCACAATCATAAGTCAATTCACATACACCTAAAAAGCAGGAAAAGCTAAGCAACAGAACATATAATTCTGAAACCTAATTATAATCAAGAGGATGTCATTAATCAAATTAACACCCTCAATTCACCATAAACTGGAAAACTCAACCAGAAATTGAGAATTTATTCTTAAAAATCCAAATTTATGGACAAGCCTGGACCAGGTAACTGATATAGAGTTAAGGACATTTCCAACTGGTACACCAAGTGTTGTCAATCCACCGTCTCCCTAAGATGTGAACCTCGAGAGTTTCAACTAGCGAATCTGAAGCCTCTGAGTTACTCTTGTGAGATGTGAGGTGCACACAGCAGCCTGGGACCAGAATATTTTAAAGCAATAATATAATTTTACTCATTCACGGTCCAGCAACATTTATGCTTTACATGCTTCTTTGTTTATATAATGCTCTTGTAGATTAATTGATGTAGCGTGGGCACTTATTACGTTATGCACCTAAAGAGCATGTGTGCTGAGACTCCACTCTGGTCAATCACAGAGGATTTGTGTCAGTCATTAAAGTCTTGGACATTAAACATGATGGAAAGATTAAGAATGAACAAGCACAGAATCAAGATAGGAATATAGAATGTGAGGACATTATAATTATGAGGCTGGTAAGTATGCAATTTTTTTCAAGTGAAATGATAAGACTGTAGTGGGACATTCTGGGATTAAGTGAAGTAAAATGGACAGGTTCAAATAGCTTTAGTGGTGAAGAGTTTTACTTAATATATTCAGGTGGTGAAAAGCATGAAGGAGGTGTTGGTATTCTTGTAAACCAAAAGATGAGCAGCAATACGAATGAGGTCCCATAAAGTTAAACTTTAAATTATTTTTTTTTAATGGGGTGGGTGGGGGGGGGGAGCAGAGAGAGATAATCAAATAGATACAATAGGTGTTTAAATGGGCGGGTAGACTCGATTCTCACGCAAAACACGCTGAAGCTAGCAAGAGGTGCTGGGTGGGTTGGCTGACCCACGTTTAAGGGCAGCTCAGGGAGTCAACTGCATATAAGCGGGGTCGCGTACTCTGGATAGGCATACATTGAGTCCCTACTGTAGCTGGAAAAATTATGGGGATGTGCAATTTTCTTTAGGAGGAGAAATTCGTCTCAATACAGTGCCCGGAAATCTCTCATTACCCGGATGAGCTCTGCACTGATCATTCCAGCTAACGGGGATATCACTTACACTTTGTTTGGAATCTGAAAGTGAATACATGGTCAGCAGCTGAAAGAAACGAGGGAAGATTCAACCTGTAAAAATTTCAGTACACGTATTACGGAATTGTATTACCAACATCAACAAAGGCTAAGATTCGGAAAAGGAAGAATGTAACTTACAAGCAACTTCGTCAAGAGCAGTGATGATAAGCATGGAGGCATTCTCTTCTACAAGGTCTTCTCTGATCTGTTTCACTTTCTCTGTATGACTCAGTCCAGTGTATTTTACCTAGTGGGAAAAATACCAACCACAGGTCAGGGGCAGAACTTAACAATTAACTTTCATTTTCAAGGAACATCTTTTCAAATCAACAAAATTAAATTTTGTGTTGCCATAATAAATTAGGATATTATCGTTCTTTAATATTCTATAAACACTTTAGATATTTTGAAGATTGCAGAAAGTGTAATACTTTTAAGATATACTGTAGTATATTTAACCAATAAACAATACTGTACATACTCTATAGTACTTAGTGTATACAATTTTTTGACTTATAATTTCAGTAAGCATTCTTAAAATACAACGTGTATACTGAGTGTTCTCAAGTCTTAAGCTCAACCCCTGAAAGTGTCACAGTGACTTTAACAATGACATTAAGTTTTATTGCTCAAGACCTTTTTGTCTGGTAAAAGCATCATGTGTGATCAATGTTACATTTCCAGTACAGTATCCATGAAAGATTAACTGGACAAAAAAAATTTACAATTGAATTAAAAGGAATAAATATAAGACTTTGACAACCTAAATGTTTGGTGAGAATGCTGGGTGGCTTCACCTCTGCATCAAGCCATTGATTCAAGCACTGGTCAAAGTCCAGCAAGTGAAACTTAATCCACAGAGTATGGCAAGTAATAATTATGAGATGAGGATGATGTCTTCCATCAGAGAATACTGGGAACTGATATTGACCAAAGACAAGGAAACAGTCCACAATAAAACACAGTGTCTCTCATGACAGAACCACTGCATCATGATCCTGAGCACACTGCCAGTGCTACAAACACAGTACAGTATGTATAGCCATATTTTCAGCCATATTTGGATCCATCAATTCTCAAAAGGAAAAGTTCCTAACTGATAATGCATGTTACCAATCAAGGCCAGAAAGATTGAAAGACAAGGTTTCCTTAACTGATCAATTTCCATCTCTAAAAATCATAAAAATAAGAGGCCTTAGCACAGCCATGCACAGAGCACATACTGTATTCTGTAACACATGGAGGATGAGTGAGAAGGTGGGCTATCAAAACACCTTTTATCAACAAGAGGCATTTCAGGATCAATCCCCAACTTACAGTAGAGGCAAAAGTCCACAATACAGAAATCAGAAAAAAATAAGGGAGGAGGAAGTTGATCAGAGGAAGGAAACGCTCAAATAAACTAGAAAGTCAAAGCACTTATTAATAACAACTTGAGGTTTATTAATACCAGTACAGGTAATGTACTTCCTAGCATCATGAGTCATGAACCAGACCAACAAGAAGCTACACCTCTTGAAGATATGATATAAGGGGCTTTTCACTATACATAGGGGATGTGTTCCAGAGAGAAGCAACTTGTGATGAAATGTTTAATAATGAGCAATTTGTTCCCGTAAGAATTAGTGTAATTATGGGTATATGCATGCCAATATGTACACTCTCACCAAAACCTTCTTCAACACTATAAGCATTATGTAATCTGAAAAATAAACTAAGAATCTGAAACTATTCCGAGATAACAAGCCCCATTCTGCTCATTCTCACAGCCATTGGGTCCAGGTGTTTGAGAAGTTTTTGTTGAGAGTGTACAGTAAAACCTCTTGAAATCTCAACAATTCAGCTTTAAGTGGGGTCATTATAACATACTGTACTTGTAGTATTTAATATGGAGATACATTCCTGACAACATGATTTGTTATCTTTGAGTGATACATGATGGCTCAATATGGCTACTTGTTATACTGTACTTAGACAACTGATTAATGTATAAAATACACCACAATATTATTTATTAGGTGTAGAAGACAGTTGCTGTGGTAAGCACCAACCATCTTGAGCAGTAACAGCAGATATGCATGAAAGAAGCAGAGCATTGACAACTCTGCTTGGAGGGAGGCCGATGACAATGGTCAACTGGTCAGCTTTGTAAGCAAGCATCGAGGATTTAATGCAATACAATACCTCATCTGGCATTGGGTGTAGAATTTTCATCAGTAAATTTTATTATTTTAAAATATTTCATTAATCCAGCACTAAATGAGCATAAATTATATGAAAATTATGCTGAAACTGCATACTGCACTGTTGCATTTATGGGGGCCAATTGTGGAGTCGTCAGGTCACCCTACCTCCCACACAATTGACCTTCCATTCTCAATGTTCTTATTTACTTTATTTCTAAATCACATTAGAGAATTGGAATGATATTTTCATAACTTTTATGACTTGTTATGCACCAATATGTGTACAGCCTTCTCACAGCTACTGAGCACGTGTGTGTTATGGTGCCTCCTAGACTCCCATATTCTCCCACACACAATATACCCCTCCACTCTTATTTTATTCTTATCTTATATCTTTATAGTACTGTACAGTATTTTCTTTATTCACAAGGCACACTAGCACACTGAAATGACTTTTCCGTAAATTCTGTGATTACGTAACATATAACAATGGCATTAGCACTCAGTTGTGTGAGAGGCGACCGACGTAGTTTGGCGTGGTTGAAGCTTAACACTTGTAGGGTACTTTTATTACCCATTTTGGTTATTCTTACATTATCTTACAGTAAATCCCAATTATCTCGAGTCCCGGTAACCAGCAGATTTAAATAACTAGCACCCAAATTAAATAATAAAAAATTCCTCCAAAATCAGCTAGAATCGTAAGTTCGATTACTGCACGCAACGGGGATGAGCTGTCGTATTTATTACTATGATAAACAATAAAATTTATACACATCCTATCATAAAATACAACAGCACAGATTTTATGTACAAAAAAATAGCTTCTTCTACACTTAAATCATCATCTGGGTGATGCCACACAGTTCAGCCAGGCAGTCAACCAGCTGACACTGAGACGTGCGTGTGTGCCAATACGTCACATCGTGAGGGAGCACTGCATCCCACAGCCTCCACACATAAACACCCATGCTCTTCATTTTTCTTATTTTACAGTTTTATATCATATTTTCTATATTTCTTAGCCACATCATTTATATGGAGTGGAATAACTGATAAAGAAGTCCATTTTCTGAGACACAAATTTGTGAGGTCAGCCTGTAGCAATGTGAATTGTAGGATTTATTTGGGGATCCTATGAGTGAGGTTCAACTAATGGGAAAATCTCTTTATCCAGCACCTCTCAATCCCTATAGGTGCAGGATAACAGGTGTTTTACGGTACTGTACATACATGCTTTTAACACTATTTACACGTCAGATTCAGGTATACACAAACTCAGTACAAAACAGTGGATGATGCAGATAATGTATATGTGAAACAAGTGACATATAATGAAAATTTCTTCCTATATTTGTAAGCAACCTATACTGTACTGTATGTGAAATGACATATACTGGTACAAAGCCTAGCAAGGACCACATGTATTTGTAATAAGGTTGAAGTGGATGTTTAAGGAACTTAATTTGGTATATGACTCAAGAAGAAGAATACCTTATTGAGTTAATTTGTCATCTTAACCACAAATCTCTCATTGGCCACTGCACTACCTCACATAGCCTGTCCATAAAGTAGTGACTCATTTAACTGAATGTTCACTATTCACAAGAGTTAAGACATTGACTTGCTATAACTTGTCAAATTGTCATGCCTTGCCAAGACAGTTACTGAAATATGTTCACAAAGATACCAGTCATATGAGGTGATGGCAGACTTCTCAGCACCCTTACAATTTTAGCTTTCTTTCCTTGGTGCTTCTATTATTTATGAATTTCTACAATAAACAAATTTTAACACCAATATCCCAATTCCACTTCCTATTTATGATGTCTAACAAACAAGATCAACATGGCCTAAGGAAGGTTGGCATACACCACTACTGTATATCTCATAACAAAAACGTGCCTTAGTTTGCATCTAAGCCGTGAAAGTCTGAGGAGTACACTTTCAGTATTGTATAGTACTATAACTGAATAAATTTGAATTTTAAATATTTATAAAAAAGAAAAAAAAAATTGTGTGAAACCCTCTTGCAGTTATATGAACACATAATCAGTGTGGCTACAGAGTGTTGACTGCTACTTACTTGAATAGTTTAACCATTTATCTTTCACTTTGGTATAGATCCAAGTGTGGTTGCTCCTGGGGATTTGCTAAACAGCTTAAACAGTGCAAGTTCACAGGGCAAACACAGCCACATACAAACACAACTGGCAACTGTTCACATCAAGACTTCAGGCATCAGTGCAGGATGCCTGTGTTCAAAACTGTGTGTCATTTTCTCTCCATAAGTGCTTTTATTAAATATAGGCAGAGAACCATGATAGAAACCACTGATTATAGGGAACATCTACATTTGTTAAAGTACTGTAAGTCCTAACTATTTTACTAAGAATAATTAATCCATAGATACCAACCAAGCATACATATGATTAGGAGTCTGCTGCATCTACAACCATTAGTTACACAAAACTTGAGGCTGGCCATCATAGCATAAATACAACTAACAATGCAGGGTCAGCAGGGGATCTGACAAGTGGAATATAAACCTATTAAATTTTAAGCAATGTAACATTTAACTGAAATAACTCATTATTTTTCATGCTCCTCACCTCAAGTGGAACAACAGACTTGGCTGGACGAGGCGGCCGTTCATTCCATATTATATCAATGAGGTTTTCTGGTACAGGAATAATGGAATGTCCACCTCCCTGTAGCTCCCTGGCAAAGTCCCGCCACCACTCTGACTCAAGTAGATAAGGGTCAACGCCAACAACCGACCCAACATCTAATGTCTTGTTTAACCATTTGGCTTCACTTGGAGTCTTTGGCAATCCTGAAAAAATAAGTTTGTACATTTCAATACATTCTTGGCAAAATTATTTTTACAGTAAAAGCAATTACAAAAAAAAATGATCTCAATGCAGCAAAACCTTAATAACTCAGCAGGTATGGGGCTCTGGCCTTGCCAAGTTATCACAAATTCTGATTTACCGAGACACTCCACTCCCCCCCCCTCCCTTACAAAAGTACAATAAAAAATTATTGGCCAATATAAGTATAAATGTAATTACTAGTTTTCAAAAGTAACACATACCAACACTGCAGGCAAATAATGAAGCTTTGTAGTAGGTGACATAGGCATGGTAGGTGACACACAGGCATGGTAGGTGACACACAGGCATGGTAGGTGACACACAGGTATGGTAGGTGACACACAGGCATGGTAGGTGACACACAGGCATGGTAGGTGACACACAGGCATGGTAGGTGACACAGAGGCATGGTAGGTGACACACAGGCATGGGGGTGACACTGACACACAGGGCATGGTAGGTGACATGGTGGGTGACACAGGCATGCATGGTGGGTGACACAGGGCATGGTGGGAGTAGGTGACACAGAGGCATGGTAGGTGACACACAGGCATGGTAGGTGACATAGGTCACTGACCCACATTGGGGCCTGAGGGGCAAAAATTTAATACCCCTGTAATAATAATAATAATTCAGATAAGTAAAAAAAAAGAAAGAAAAAAAAAGCTGCCTATCTACCTATTGGACAAACTAAAATCGTTCCGGACCACGAGAGTTTCCGGACCACAGAATGCCGGACTAGAGAGGTACAACCTGTATATGTAACATGGTGTTAATAGATACTGTATATACAGGTACAGTATGAGGATGTTACCATGGTTATCACTTTTTATTTATTTATTTTATTCTTTTTTTACATTTATATGTACTGTACGTACAGTATATATATACAATATGATTTCACAGTGGAGTTGGAACACTGTATACAGTTATCTGAGAGGTGAAAGAAGTAATACAACATGGGTTGTGTTGGGGTGAAACAAGGGGACAGACACAGTTATGATAATGGCTTGACACCAAATATATAATTACTGTATTGCAATAGTAATTTCCATCTACATGACAATATGTGATACAATGGTTTTCATGGTAAAGTAAGTGTTACAAAAATATTAATACTCAGACAATAGATAATTAGTTGATTTAAAGGGAGAGGCTGTGAGAAATTACCTCAAAGATAAGAACCTGACAACAAAGGCTGAAAGGGAGAGTGACATGGACAGCTGCCATCAGGTAAACACAGACATCATACAGCATAGAAAAAGACCATAAAACAGTGATGATGATGATAATGTGCATGTTGAGATCTGTCCTCTGCTAGATGAAGGTCTCTCCCAATATACTTACACAATACTTAACAACCAATTCTTCTTCAATTATAACATACCTTGTTTCATTAGTGTCCAATTCTCATCCATTTCTTGACTTGCTTGTAGATAATAGCGGCCATCAGTCCAGAGTGCAGCACCAGTATCAGTGACAATAGCTGTTCCGGCTGATCCAGTAAATCCGGAGATAAAAGCTCGACGTTGATCACACGATGCTATGTACTCACTCTGAATATTAAAAACAAAACTTAGGAACACTTAAAAATAAATAAATAAATCACATGCAGTCAAAACTCAAAATTAAAAAATTCACATGTAATTTTTCAAGTTTAGCCACTCTAAATTATGTGGTCCCACCACCCTCACAGTCACTGTCACCCAGTTTATTACAGCATATTGTTTGCCATGACTCTGACTCCACAAATTTTCTAAATTCAAAAGTTCTACCCTAATACAATAATGGCTTCAAAAAATTGCACATGGGTATTTTTTATGTCAATATGCAACACCAAAATTTTGAACAGCATTGTAGGACAAAGTTGGGGCAACTGTCACACCCTAGTGTTCGTAAGACGGGGACCCCCTGTAAGTGTTGTAAGAACCTGATACTTTTAGTTAATAGCCACAAGGTCCATTACAACCATAAAAGTCAGTCATCAGTTTGCATGCTGCTGTGGGAATTATATAACTACAGTACTCTTTTGTACAGTAAATAATCATAACACAAAATACCTTACTGCAACACAAACTAAACAATAAATATGCCCTGTAGGAATTAATCACTCATGAAAACAAACCTGATGTGCATCTCCTGAGGGAATGATATAAGCATGTAGAGCTTTTGGAACATAGGTCGTGTTCTTCATCAGTAAGCGAAGTTGCTTCAGTAAGTAAGTCGTACTTTTGGGAGGCATCATCACCTTAACTGTGGTGGGAACTGCACAAACAATGATCCTCTCTGTATCAAGTCACTCAAACCTGTCGAGGGTTAAAGAAAAATCCTTAGTAGAAACATAAAATACCTGCAGAGTTATAAAAACACCAAATGGAACACTTCAAAAATTGCTTTCCAATAAAAGGTGTAAATAAGCTCTAAATCCTGAGCCAAGTTTACCAGACTGTCAACATATTCACTGATACCCGCAAACTATTCTGCATAATACAAAGAAAAATGGGGGACTGATTTCTGAATTTTATCTAATGAGAATGGATAAAATAAATAACCCAAGAATTATAGTGTTTGCTAATACTCCATGTCAAAGCTGCCGTATTAGGTTAGGTTAGTGGGACAGTAGCTACATCAGGCCAGGAATAAGTTCTTCAAAAACCACATTGAAAATATCATGGTACATGTATTCATAAAACTTCCAAAATCCCACAAAATTAGGTCCAGTACCTGTACAGATTATATTTTCATTTGGGGGTGAGGCAACATTTTCTGCTGTAATACCCCGGTAGTTTTACTGTACTTGTACTGTACTGTATTGTAGTACAGTAATCACATTAAAAAAGACCAATATTAAATCAGTTGGATTCCTCAATAAATTACCTACAAAGCCAGAAGTCTATACAGGCAATCCCCGACTTACGAAAGGGTTAGGGACCCAAATCCAGGTCGTAAGTCGAGAATGCAAAAATAATACATAGAAAATCTAAAATGGGTGTTTCTTTTTCTTCTCGGCACCACAAAACTCTCACTTTTAAGCTTGCAGCCACTTTAAAGGGAAATACAAACGAAAATTTTCTCAGTACACAGCGCAATCACTTACGTCGGGACTCGAAAATACATAATTTGAAAAAAAAAAAAAAACTGGTACGACTGGGGTGGTCGTATGTCCGGGCGGTAGTAAGTCGAGTAGGTCGTAAGTCGAAGAGTACCTGTATACAGTAAGTCCTCGTATAACGCTGCCCCGTTAACGTTGTTTTGGTACTACGTCGCTACTCTTTAGGTTGGTGAGGTCTTCTAACATCGTTGCTGCCTCTTTGTTTTTCTTATCAACTTAGTTTAGGTTAGGTTTAATTTAGAAATACATAACCACTTTTTAACACATTTTCCATAACTACAACAGTGTCCACTATAAAACAGTGAAATTGTGGTATGCTTAAATTTGTTTTCACTAAAAAATCAGCGGCTGTGAAGTAAAAAATAATTACCATGCCATTGGTAATGAGTTAGCTATTCTCTGCTTCTTAAAACGCCTTACAATAAATGCCTATACTCAAGGGTCTTAGTTCTCAGTAGGCCTATAACAAATCTAATAAGACCACTGTACAGTATTCAGTAAGTGTTGTTCATTTCATCAAGTTTTTTTATTTAATCTTCCCGATTTCTTAACTTTTTTTTAAAAGTATTTCTGGTGACCACAGCATCTCAGAGTCCGTAAAAGGCGAATTCCATTTTTATCGAGGTTTTACTTGTAGTATAAATGGAGTTCAAAAGACTCAAAATAATAAAATCTAAATGTTTCAGTAGTTTTAAACTTTGGGGCACACCATGTCCAAAAGTACTGTACAATACCTTAGTTAGAAGTGGAAGGACCAGGGATAGGTTCAGGGTCATCAACCTCCTTCTCGTTGGAGTTTACAAGGCAATTTACAGTGTGGGCACTCAACAGACGTAGGGAGAACACCGTGATTACGTAGGAATTGCGTTATATTTTTAATATATCATTACGGAAAATACTGTAATATTATTTTGTTCTTGTTTGTAGGTATAATTTTTAGTTTATTTAGTTTATTGTATACTTGCGGCATTTATTGCACTTCACGTACTTGCTCTCTCATCTGATTGTCTAGTATGCTAGCGTCCTGCACAGGGGTGTCAAACTCATGGCCCGCGGGCCAAATGTGGCCCTTGGGATGGTCAGGTGTGGCCCGCCGGATGACGGTAAAATTCATCATCTGTGAAATTATAATAGAAATAGATATAATCATGTTTATTTACTTAAATGAATTTTATGTACTTAAGATCAGAAAAACCCAAAGGGGGTATTCCTGGTAAGCCAGGTAAGGCAATGTGTGAAGCTGTAAACTTCAATCCTGCAAATATGTGATATAGCACTTGTGTTGACCCTGAAGAGGGTAACTAAAATAAGAATCGACCCTCGAAAGGTTTTGAGTTTGACACCACTGGTCTAGCAGCTCTAGCTCTGATCTCACTTGATCTGACTATGTATTTTGTTGAAGCGTTTATTTCATTATTAGGGTTATGTTATAATATGTTCATTGTTGTTTCCTCTTTGAATTGTTACAACATTTGCTTTTGTGTTATTTCAGATATGTAGTGAAATGAGTCAAGTACTGTATAGCTTGGATGTAGCAACCAAGTGTTTTATTTGCCACAGATTGGATAGCTTGATCGTCTTTCTCATAAAACTCGGCAATATACATAAAATAATCGTAGGAGAATGATTGACACCCAACCTAGACCATTGTCAGACTGGTCATTGAATTTCAAATCCGTACCCAGGCTGATTTGAAAAATTCAAATTTGATTGGTAAAAAAAAAAAAGTTGCGGGATGATATTGATACATCATTGGTCACGACTGTATGACATCAGTCAATAATGCTCATGCGTGATCCATAACTAACTCGGTTTCATGCCGATAATATTTTCACACAGACGAAGACTGAAAAGTACGTAAAATAAATTAAATTAAATTTCCATTTCCGCCTGGTATATATGGGGTTCAAAATGCTCAGAATAGGGAGATCTAAATATTTCAGTAGTTTAAAACAATTCCTTTTGGTGATAGTGCTGTTCTCAGACATAAATCTTTCTTGCGATCTTTTTGGAGTGAAGGAGCGACAATGGTAATTTTTCGTTATCCACCCATTATCTTTTTTCACATGAAAAATATATATTTTCGCTAGTTTTCTTGCTGTTTTATGTTAGGTTAGGTTACCAGACCGAACATAACAGGTCACGTCCTAACCTAACCTAACCTTAAAAAAATTCATGTGAAAAAAGGTGATGGGTGGATAACGAAAAATTACCGGGACAATATTATACCCACAACACTTCCTGCCAGTAAAAAAACCTACTTTTGTCGATAAATTTTCACTTGTTGCCACTATACGAAATCAAGGTTGAAACTATGTTTTTCCTATGGTTTTTGATGTGTTATGAATGAATTTGACCTTCATTTCTGGTGCAAATAAAGTTTCTGTGACAAGCCCCCCCCCAATCTCAGAATTTAGAGATTTGCTATAAAAATCAAGGTTAAAAGTGTTCAAAACAAATAAAAAACCACAGGAAAGTTTGAATCTAACCAACCAACCAACCAAACCAAACCTAACTGAACTTAACTGGGGGAGCTCCAGTCAGTTCGATGACCTTGGTGAGTACTGCCACATACAAAATAAAATGTTAAATATCTCGCTTAAACACAATTTGCGCCATAAATGACATTGAAGAAAGGTGTCTTAGAATTGTCAAAAGTACTGATTGCAACAATAAAATTCCCGAGATTGATTTAGTGGCAACAAGTGAAATAATACCCTTTTGTCTCTTGATTCAGATAATTCTTCAGTGTGTCAATTTGCTCTACCCTTCAAAATATCAGCTGGGGTGTAGACATCTTCTCCAGCATAATATATTTATAACCAGATCTACTTTACCGGTCTCAGTTATTGTCTCAACCAGCGCACTACAAACAATGTTATCTTTGAACTTCTATTGATAAATACATTGAAAAGTTATTTAAATGTTTCTCAACCTTATTAATGTCAATGATTACTATAGAATCCCTACAACATAATATAAATTCTAATTCAAAACCATCAATAACTCACAGCAAGGCACACCACCATAATATCTAGCGTGTTCACACGTTACTTGGCGAACACCTCCAGCGTCCACGTTTGTTTAGTTTAACAAATTTATTGACAAAGCTTGTAGTACAGTTTGCCTATTGTGAGTAATTCAGTCAGGTCTTGACACTGAGGGTGGTATCACTTCTCACTGCCACGCAGGACAGAGGTTCATACACAAAGAAATACATCATATTCATTAACAACTATAAATGTATAGAGGTCAGATTCATGTGGGTAATGTCACTGTTTACTGCCACGCAGGACAGAGGTTCGTACACATAGAAAGAAATACATCATATTCATTAGCAGTACATATAGGTCAGTGGTTCACATACATTGGAGTCATATTCTAATTGAAGACTTATCAGTTTGGGCTAGCAAATTTGGGATAAACAGCAAGAATGTCCTTAAGCACCCCCGATTCAATGTAGTAATTACAAAGTTCAAGATAAAAATAAGTCAGGTGGCCTGAAGTCTTTGACAGTGTCACATAAAATAATATAGTGTTCAAGTGTATGCTTTAAAGGTTTATCACAAAGTTTACATGCTGAGTGTTCCGGTATGGGTACTGCGGGGTATGGGTGTTTGGTTCACACTCAGGATGGGATGGAGAAAGGAAACTCACAATGTGCTCTCTGTATACATGTTGTATTGGATGTACAATGCAGCTTGGTGCTGGGAAGGCAGCGTGGTTACAAGCGTGATGTAGAGAGAGCTGGTTGGTGAGGATGCTTAGAGGAGGGCAGCTTGTGGGTCGCCATGCTCGCCGGTGGGAGCGAGGACCGCCAGGCAGCCGAAGGAGGTGTTGCTGGCTGGTTGGTGTAGGTAGAAAGAGAGCGATCACCACGAGGTCAGGTCTTAAGTTAAATAGCAGAGGTAGGCGTAGTTTAGTAGTTGACCTCCGTCATGTAAGGCGGCGCTGGTTGACCTAGACCACGAGGCACACACTGTGGAATCCGCTGGGTCGGCTACTCAGCGACAAACAGCGTTTGTAGGGGAGAAATCCACTACAATACTCCCCCTTCCCTCCAGGCGGTGTAGGAGACTTGTTGTCTGCAGGGTTGCATAGCACATGAGAGGCAGAACGGGCGGTGCATGCCTCATGTGAGCCATAACTGCGAGGGCGTGGATGAGCCGGCCGCTAGTGGAGGCAACTGTCTAGATACACACTATCTGTGGGAGAAGAGAGGGAGAAAAAGGGTGTGTGGAGGTGATGAATGTTGTGCTTCCCTCACCGCAGGTACAGAGTCGTCAGATGCGCCTGCTGGGGTGTGTGGGCCTGGGTCAGGAGCAGGGGCTGCGTCAGCAGAAGGCGGATGAGGGCTCGTGACAGCAGCTGGGTCCACGACAGCAACAGGGTGCAGGACATTAGCAGGGAGTACCTGAGGGGTGTGTGGGTCCGCACTCAGGCGCATGGACCGTGTCGGGAGCAGGGGCTGCATCATGAGGAGCGGCAGGGGGTACTGCTGGGCCGGGGGCGGCGTCTGAGGCAGGACGGGTGTGCTGGGGTCGGCAGGACGTGGTGCTTGGGGCAGGAAGAGGAGCGGCTGTCTGCTTAGAGTCGCAGAGCTGCTCTAGGGTGTCTAACCTGCGGTGTAGAGACAGTAGCTGTAGAGCCGATGAGAGCTGCTTCTGGGTGGATAAGCCAGTCTTTCATGTTGCTTGAAGGCTGGGAGAGTGATCAGTTTCTCCTCCATCCTGTGTGAGTGCGAATCTCCGGGGGTCACCATTTGTGGGGTACGTGATGTTTGGGTTCACACTCAGGATGGGATGGAGAAAGGAAACTCACAATGTGCTCTCTGTATACATGTTGTATTGGATATACAATGCAGCTTGGTGCTGGGAAGTGGCAGCATGGTTACAAGCGTGATGTAGAGAGAGCTGGTTGGTGAGGATGCTCAGAGGAGGACAGCTTGTGGGTCGCCATGCTCGCAAAATATTTTGTCAACATATCACAAATTTTCATACAAGCGACCAGGGGGAATTGTGACTGTCATGATTTTGGGTGAAAGTTCTGCCCAAAATCTTAGCACCCGTATTATTAAACAACATCTTCCCTTGAAGAGGGTTGTCGTGTTTCAACATAAGAACATAAGAAAATAAGGAGTCTGCAATAGGCCGGTTGGCCTGTGCATGGCAGCTCCTGTCGAGAGTTACTACCACTCTCCATCATCCATGGATCTATCCAGTCTCCTTTTGAAACTTTCCAGCGTCCCAGCACTTACTACATAGTTGCTAAGCTTGTTCCACTCGTCCACCACCCTATTTGTGAACCAGTTCCTTCCTATCTCCCTCCTAAACCTAAACTTATCCAACTTAAATCTGTTGCTTCGAGTCCTATCCTGCTCGGATATTATAAGAACTTTTTCTATATCCCCTTTATTGATTCCTTTCACCCATTTAAATACTTCTATCATATCTCCCCGCACTCTTCATCTTTCTAGGGAATGCAAGTTTAGTTTCTTTAACCTATCCTGATATGGAAGGTTTCTAAGTCCCGGAATCATTTTCGTCATTCTTCGCCGCACCGACTCTAGTGAATTGTTATCCATTCTATAATTAGGGCACCAGAACTGAACGGCATAATCGAGGTGCGGCAAGATATAGTTGCAATAAGACCTCTGCACTCTTATTACTTACACTTCCAGATATAAAACCCAATACTCTGTTTGCCTTATTTCGAACATTAACACACTGTTTTCTAAGTCGTAGGTCCGGGCTTACAAGTACCCCTAGGACTCTTTCACAAGTCGACTTCTCTAGGTTGATGTTGTTAAGGCTGTTTACATTGACAGTGTTTGTTCTTCCAATATCAAGTACGCTGCACTTGCTGGTGTTGAATTTCATTTGCCATTTTTCAGACCACCCCTGCAGTTTATTTAGATCCTCCTGTAATGCATTTGCATCCTGCCCTGAATTAATCTGCCGCCCTATTTTGGTGTCATCCGCAAACTTGCTTATGTCACTGCTGATCCCAGTATCTAGATCGTTTATGTAGATTATGAACAAGAGTGGGCCTAGTACTGACCCCTGGGGAACCCCACTGGTTACACGGCCCCACTCAGATTTAACACCATCTACGCTGACCCTCTGCGTTCTATCGGTGA